GCTCGAGCGAGAGCGAGCCGACTCGGACGACTCGAGCAGCAGCGCCGAGGCGCGCCGAACAAAGAAGACGCTGCGCGACCAATCGGCCAAGCCTGCGAAAAAGCACATGTGCTCGCAGCACAACTGCCCGGATACGAACCCGTAATACCACCTGGCCTTTGTCGCGGTCATACTAGCGTCTGTCCCTCGTCGGCGCAAAAAAAACCGAGCGCTTCGACGCACGGAGGTCGCACCGCATGATGGCGTGATGATTCGTTGAAGGAACACGAAAGCGCCGGAGCATAAACCCTGCACTGCGTGCGCTTGCAGCCGTCGCCTCCATCCGGCTAGCGCAGATCGTGGCCACGTCTGTCAACACGAACGATTACACCCCCGATGCAAATCCTCGTGGGTGTTGACATTACGCAGTGCAACGTCACTCCACGATGCAGCTCCACGAAGATTACGTGATCGTAGGACACACTATTGTTGTTGAACTGAGTCATATTACATCCTATTATAAAGATGGTGGACTTCCTACTGCGCTGGTGAGGCGTGGCCGGTGCGTCGAGCGAGGAGCGTTAGTTGTCTTGATGCGGGACTGTGAGAGGGACGAGGTAGCGTGCACACCAAGGGCTGTCGCGGAGAGCGACCAGCGATGCGCCAAGAGATGGCACCACAGCACAACGAGCCAAGTGCCGGACATGCAGTCTTGCGATAGTAGCTGCCCGGATCGCGAGCGCGGCAGCGGGAGGTTAGTTGGACACACCATTATACCATGCACGCTAGACTTCTGTATCTACTGTACAAGATTCTGTCCATCGACCGACAGTAAGATAGTGTGGGCGTTTCATCGTGGCTTGAAGCGTCAGCCATGCGCCGCACCACAGCACCGACGACGGGCAAGGGCAGCCGCACCGCCTTCCTACAAGGCCCACGCGATGCGGCGCTTACCAGCACCAGGGTGCTACTGCGCAAGGCGGATCGCGGGCCCGAGTCGATGGCCAAGAGCAAGCCCACCATGGACGCTACCAAGGACCGCAGCGCGATGCAAGCGACCGACGCAGAGCGGTCGACCAAGCCGACGCTGGCCATCAAGTCCAAGGCTGTCGATCTATGGAACGCCAAGATCAATCGGTGCCATGACCGCGCCGTCATCCACACCTTTCGCAACGCCGTGCTCGCACTGGACGTGACGCTGTCGGTGGCGATCGGAGGCGGTCAAACGACAAGCTTCATCTCGTCCAACAACAACAACAAGGCGACGACGACTGCGCTGACGACGGTAACGATCCCGATCCAGCCGCAATGCACGCTTCGCAAGCTCACGACCGTGTCCCTCACAGCGCGTTCGTCCAAGACGTCGACATGTATCGAGACCACGTACCAGGTGCCGTCGTCGTCGTGGCGTCTCGTGGCGACGACCGATGACGGCACCGACCTTGGCATCTACCAAGCGTTGCTTCCGTCGTCGTACACGCTCATCGCGCTCGTCTGGAAGGCTGGCCTTGACGTGCTTCGGTACCTCCCCCTTCTCATGCGTGTAATCGTTCCAAGACTTTATAACTATTAGCGTCCATGCGATTGCGTCGCTCCCAGCACTCGCGACGTCGCTTCTTCAACGGGTCGTCGCACCCGTCTTTGACGATGTTGACTCGCAGCACGGGTTCCATGGATACACGATCGCCGTCACGATGCGGCAGCTGGATAGCACGGTACTCTGGGAGCACGAGTTCTATGCCGTCGACTTTGACCGCACCCAAGACGGTGCCACGGCGTCCCTTCTCTCGCCCGCGGTACGCAATTTGGTCGTGGTGTCGATCTGTGACGGGCGCGGGTAGGGCGCGTTCCGAGACAAGTGCCGGCTCTTGGCCGAGTTGCCGCACCTCGCAGTCGCCACAGAAGCGTTTACTAGCCGTGCGACTGCCTGCGTCCTACTCGACGTGGCGATTTGGGACTTTGAGAAATCGTTGCGTGCAGGTGTGTCGCTGAGAGACTGCGCACAATATGACATGTTTGTATGAACCGGAGTAGCGACGAGCCACTGCGTGCTGCTACGACGCGAACCGCAGGTGGCCACTCTCGATCTGGACGTCCCCAGTGCGCAGTTTCAAGACGCGATCCACATGGCCCTCGAGACGCCGGATGTTACGTGCCGCATCAACTGCGCCGCCTCAAAGAAACGTGCGGTGGTCCTGTCCGTAGTCGTCGGTCTCCGCCGCTTGTTTCTTCAGGCGACGTATGGCGTCTGCACCTAGTGACGAGCCACCACTTTCTTGTATTATTGCATTGCATAGATACTAATCTTGATCGACAAAGTGTCCAACACGACTACACTGTACTCAATCGCGAACCGCGTCAGGTAGGACTGATGAAGGACAGATTGAGCATGGTCGCGATGGTGTGCAAATTCGGCGCCGGGCCGCACGCTTGTTTTTGCTTGTCAATTTCGCGATTGTGTGTACAATGTGCAGCTGCTCCAGTGCACTAACGCGTAATCCCTGCGTTTGCGTTGGCAGGCCCTGTAACCTGTGGGACACACCCGCTCAAAAGTGCACACTTGGGCGCCACCTGGCACGGAAAGCTTCGTGTCTGATCGAAAGATCGCCCACATGATGCCATCTTGCCCGGTCGTCGCCACATCACACAAGCATCGCCACGCTTCGGCGCGGTTCGCTCGCGACCTCGGCAGCGCCGTAGGTGCGAGCTCCGCCATGCGTGATGCGTTGCGGCAGGTGGACGACGTGTAGACCATATGTCTGGTGCCGAGATCCTGTTCACGGATGCGATTCTTTTCTTGCTTGTCCCTTTTTCGATCGAGTGCAACCTACTGTACTGTACTAGTCGTTGAAGAACCGCCGGTGCGACGCAGTCTCACGTCAGTACAATCGCGTCTCTACGCCATGTCCAGGTCCGCTGTGATTTGTGTGCGAAAGAAACGACCGCCGAATGGATGTGGGTGTGAGTGGAGGTGGAGACGGTCAGAGTGCACTCTACGACGCCTGTGCGATCGTTCGTGTTCACGTGCACAGCGCCGCCGACTTGATTCACGTTGGTCTCTCTGCTTCGCAACGACGCGACAGCATCGACGGTTTAGCGTTTGAGAAGGCCATCCCATCTGGTCCTTCGCCGGTGTCGCGATTACTGCACTAAAGGCATTCATCAACACGCGACCACAGGTGGTCACGCCGACGTCGTGGCACCAACACGTCCATCAGCGATCGTTGCACCGGTAGGGACGGAAATGAAAAGTCGTCTCGTGCTGCATCGATTACTTTTTCTGTGTCGCGCACGCAATTGTTAAAAAGGTTGTGTGCGAGTTCTCGTGGCCGCCAAGGACAGAGAGCGCAGTTTGTCGTGGATTTCGACGGCAGCGATCAGCAGCAGGTGCCAGCGATCTGCGACTTTCTAAACCAGCGTGTTCCCTCGGCTTTCCGGTGCCAATTGGTGTTGTCTCAGCGCGGCTCATCTTCAAGAACGCGAGCTCGCAGCGATCCCACTCTGGGTTTTGTGTCGATTACTATTTGCTCAGTTGCCAATCCGCACGCTATTGAGCACTTGCCAATACACACCACCGCACTTTTTCAAACGATGCTCGCACCGCCGCCGCCGACGATGGATTTGCTCAAGACACCAAAAGTCGTATCGCCCATGGCTGTGGCCGACGAGAACGTCAACCAAGGCGCGTGGTCCAAGGAGGAGCACGAGCGGTTTTTGATCGCGGTCCAGCTCTACCCCGAAGGCCCGTGGAAGGCGGTCGCCGAGATCATCCAGACGCGCAACGCCAAGCAAGCGCAGACCCACATGCAGAAATGCAAGGAGAAGCTCCAGCGCCGCTTCAAGCGCACCTCGAGCGCCGACTCGGACGACATTGAGCCGTATGTGATCCACCGCTCCAAGCACTCGCAGAATCTGCGCATCCCCGAGCTGCAGCCCATCCCGTTCGACCACCGCCTCGCGATGCCCGGGAGCTTGCTCAGCGACAGCTCCATCTCGATTGACGCCGCCCTCGATTTTTTCCTGCAAGACATGGCGCCGTCGCCGTGACGCACCTCGTGCAGTTTCTCTCCTACTATTTTATTGCTCAAGACGACGACGACCCATCGGTAGCGCTCGGCGTCTGGTGCCCACGTAATATTCAACGTACCCTTCTTTACTTTCATTCAATAGAACTTGTGTCGACCCTTCTTTACTCTATTGGAGGCTTCACTTTCTTTCGTTAATACACCTTGTGTTATGCTGGCATGCTCGGATTTGGTAGGCTCGAATGCTATCTGGTATTAGTACGTCGAGCGTTGGATGGGGGAGTCGACATCCAATGGATCGAAAATGGAGTCAACACTGTGGTTATCGAACGAGAGACTGAAGCGTTAGCCAAGCTCACTTTACTCTGAGTCAAATCGGCATGCTAATGGCTGACCGGAATGCCAATGGCTGACGTAATTCAAGAACCGTTGGGCCAACCATAGTCCTCCAAGGATGGCTACACTAAGCCTCCCGATCAAGATGAAACATCTGGCTCGTTTACATCATGTGGGTTAGGGGTACAGTATGTACTCAAATATCAAGGGCATCAAATATTATTATATGCCTTCACCGGTACCGGTACCGGTACATCGATACAAATGTACACATTGGCGATGCTAGATCATTCCGGTGACGTCTCTTTTCTCTCTGTAGTCTGTCGTGCGTCCATGCCAATGCGACGATGTGCGAGGTGGCCTTTCTTGTTTTCGAAAGAAAGGACGACCGCTTGTGCAAGCGGGTGCGGCTTGCGAATCACGCTCGTCTCTTTACCACCATAAACACGGTATGCAACACATCCCATCGTTGGTGTTGACACTGCGACTGCGACTTGGGTGCGAATAGGTTGGTGCAGAGAGCGTCGAGGAAGCCGCGCGATTGAGAGACGAAGCCGGGTCGTCGTCGAGGTGACAGCGCGCAGGCCAACGCGCCGTCGTCGCAAATACCGTTGGTCTACGCTTTGCATTTCCACACAAAAAGTTATTGCCAGCTCACCCCAGACATGACCAGTTGGACCCGAACGACGACCTCACAATCATCAGTGTACTGTACCGTCGGCACGTAATACACTGTAATTTGAGGGATGTGCACAGCCGCCGCGCGTAATAGGATCAAGCTTCAATCGACCAAACAGTACTCGTCGTCGTCCATCACCCGCTGCTGCTTTTATTCTACACTACTGGTATGGCTCCCATGACTGCTCCCACGGTGCCCGGAACTTGAGAACCCATCAAGTGTCTTTGGCACTACTAAGCAGCGCGCCATCGTTGCGCGCGCTCGTGGCGTCGTCACCGCGACGACGAACGCGTTCGAATGCGATCGGTTTCCTACGGTACACGACTACAGCCTTGCACGGCTTTGCACGCATCATCATAAGCTTACTCTCTACCATTATCGCTATCAGCTGACACTTGCAGTGTACTTGGCTCTTAAGTGACTATCGACTCGGCGAAGGGTTTTGCGAGCAAGTGCAATGTCACGAAGTCAATCCGGTTGATGGTTTGCTTTCAAGTTTGTATACATACCAGGACGACGACCTCGCACGCTAGGTAGGAACTGGCGTCTCAGATTCGTCAAAGACGAGCATCCCAACGAATGACTCGTGAGCCTGATCTTGTGACCAACACGCTTGCCGTGGCGCCATCCATATCATCAGGTCCGCTCGTCTACTACCGACGCAAACTGCCGGCGACACCAGGTAACGTTAATCAATTCTATATGCGAGCGTAGTGACGTTTGGTGGTTTGTCCGCATGGCCACGCAGGCTTGCGTATACTTATGACACAGCGACCGCCAGCTGCGTTCCCGTCTACAGCTCGCCTTCGGTGCTACAGATCGCCTTCGGTGCTAGTACTTGTACAGCAAGCCTTCGGAGGACACTCGACGACCCTTAAGCCAAGTGCCAAGAAGCCAACTATGTTCAGGAACCGCTCTGGTTGGTCACGTTTGCGGGACCAGCCTCATGAGCGGGCAGCAGTTCCATAGACGGCGAGGTGCCACGGCCGACGCCAGCCGACGCCATGATCCTTGAACCTCTCCACACATTCAGTTTTGCACTTGCCAAGCACGATCGCGTCCCGCATGCTGCCCCCGTCGTCATCGCCGTCGTCGTCCGATAGCGTCTCCAAGAAGCGGCCGCGCGAGACGAACGAAGGCGCGTGGTCGGCCGACGAGCACGAGCGCTTCCTCATGGCGCTCCAGCTGTACCCGGAAGGCCCGTGGAAGGCGATCGCAGAGATTGTACAGACGCGCAACGCCAAGCAGACGCAAACGCACATGCAGAATGACAAGGAGAAGCTCGTGCGCCAGCACCGGCGCGACCACGCCAACGATGAGCCGCTCACGTGCGTCCGCTCCAAGCACTCGGCCAACCTCAAGGTGCCCGCAATCGAGCCGATTCCGTTTACCGCGCCCAGCGCATCCATCGACGACGTGGGGACCGACCTCCCGCTCGACGAAGCACTCGACTTTTTCTGCAGCCTCCCCAACGCGTGACCGCCCGCCCTTCTTGATGTCTCTTGTCGCGTTGTGTAATATGACTGTGTACCAGCATTATTGAACTCTTTGAGAACCCAGCTCCACGCGTTCGATCAGGGGGAGGACCGGAGCGCTTTGTACTGCGCAGCTGCGACATTGCGGCGTCGCCGGTATCTTGCAGTCCACAAGGATCCTAGTGTATCTTGGATGTGTGGAACTTCAGGAATGGCCTCCGCGGCGACGACACGAGGCTCTCTGCCCTGGAAGCGCTCCTGCGGACGTCGCTATTAATACCAGTAGCAGCCCGCGGGTCTCAGTGAACAAGACGCATTGTCGTTGCTACAACGTGTGCATCTTTGTCGCTCACTCTTTCCCGAAGTCAGGCGGCGCTCTTGGCTGCTATAAGTTCTTGGCCCAAGAACAAAATGCAGCCGATTCCAGCTGCCACGTGTGTCTCTCTCAAGTGCGACCCGATTAAGAACGCCGGTGTGGCAACACTTGGTGTTTGTATACAGACGCAACGGGGAACTGCCGTTTCGAAGCGCCTGGCCGCCTTGAAATTGGGCGCCCTTCAAATCGGCGGTACAAAATGTATTTTATGACTAGGTCTTTGTATGAGGCAAAGTGTCTTTTAATGCAACGACGCTTGCCGGCCACCGGTCAATTCCTCATTTGCGGAGACGCGGCGATGGCAAGTCGCACTGCGCTCGCCGTGTGCGTCATGGACGGCGAGACCGTGCTCCAGCGCTCGATCACGCAGATCCTGCCGAGCATGACCTTCCGCGAGATCCTCATGGCCTTCGCCGGCGGGCGCTTCGCGGCCTGCATCGCCGACACCCAGGTCAAGGTCGGCGACGCGACCTCCAAGTACGCCAACATGCACACCGAGATGGACGAGGCCGACATGCACATGACGTTCGAGGCGACGCTCGCCATTGTCGGCGAGATCAAGAAGATCGTGTACCTCCTTGGCGTCGCGCCGACGCCGCCCGTGACCGCAGCGCCGGCGAACGAAGCGCTGCCGCCGCCGCCGCCCGCCATCCCGTACGTGCAGCGTGTTCGGAGCCGCAAGCCCAGCGAGTCGGGCCAGACGTCCGTGGCCAAGCAGCGCATCTTGACCGAGGTCGCGACCATCATTTACGAAAACCTGCCCGCCGACACCAAGTACGTGCACCTCCCGTCCAAGTACACGGTGCCGAGCGAGCCACCGTTCCCCGCCCATCTGCACGGCGTGAACCTTGACATTGCGCTCTTCCGCGAGTGGTACCGCAAGCGCCGCCTCGAGCCCGACGTCGTCGAAATCCTCGACGCGCTCCATTTTGTCTGGGACCTCAACCAGTTCAAGTGGGACCTGCATTTGCGTTGCCTGCAGACGTTCCGGGCGCTGAAAGGCCACCTCCGCGTGCCCGACCGCTTCGTCGTGCCGGCCGACGACCCCGAGTGGCCGAAAGACCTTGTCGGGATCCATCTCGGACACGTGGTGCACAACATCCGCGGCTACGGCATGGAGAGCAAGCAGGCGCGCTCCAAGGAGCTCGAAGCTCTTGGCTTCATCTGGGACAGCCACGAGGCCACGTTCCAGTCGCACCTTGTGGCGCTCAAGCGCTTCAAGGAGCTCCACGGGCACATCAAGGTGCCCCAGTTCTTTGTCGTGCCGTCCGACGACGAGACGTGGCCGGCCGAGTTTTGGGGGCTCAAGCTCGGGCGCGTCGTGATCAACTTGCGGCAGCGACTGCCGCTGCTGCCGGCGTCCCGGAAGCAAGCGATGGACGACCTTGGCATGGTGTGGTGCGCGAGCAAAAAGTTTAGCTGGGAGAACCGGCTCCTCGGGCTCGAGACGTACCACCGGTTCTACAACCACCTCAAGGTGCCCAAGTCGTTCCAAGTGCCCGAGAACGACCCGTCGTGGCCCAAGGAGGTCTGGAACATGCAACTGGGCTGGGTTGTCAAGGATCTGCGCAACAAGGAGCACACGATGCCACTCGTCCGGAAGCGGAAGCTCGAGTCGATGGGCTTTGTCTGGACCGTGCACAACCCCAAGGCGACGCCGCCGTCGACCGAGACCCCGCCGTCGCTCATCCAGGCGCTGCCCACGGGCCTCCTCACAGACAACATGATGCTCATGATGCCGACGCCGACGCAGCCCATGATGCACCATCACATGCCGTTCGACCATGCAGCAGCCATGCACCACCACCAGCAGCAGCACCAACAACAACAGCAGCAGCACCAGCAACAACAACAACAACAACAACAACAACAGTTGCACCACCAGTTTCAGGTGCACAGCCGAGGCTGGCAAGCGAGAAGGGTTAATTTATGCGGCAAACCGATGCGTTAAAACTCGGTCGTCGCCGCCCCGACTTGAACCTCGTCGTCGTCCTCGAGGTAAAACGTGCCGAGCGCCTGCTGGAAGACGCGGATCGCGCCGTCCGTGTCGCCTCGCGCGTGCAAGATCTTGCCGAGCAGCGTCAGCACCGGTCCGTTCTGGCCGGACGGGTTCATCTGGAGCACCTAGTTTGATATCAGATAGTATTACATCCTATCAGATCGTAGAAAAAGACATGCGTCAATTACCCGTTGCGCGGCCGCCTCAGCTTCCTTGTCGAAGCCCACACTGAGCAAGCAACGGGCGAGCGCCAGCCACACTTTCGGGTCTCGGTCGTCGACGGCAAGGCTTTTGCGGAATTCCGCCAGCGCACTTGCATGGTCTTCCTTCTCGGCGAGCGCGGTACCTACGACATGGGACTTCGGGTGGGGTCGCCAACCGAATGGCTGGGTGTACCGAGCAAATAGTGTGTCTGTGCGAGATCCAGCGGCGCCGAGGATTTCTCCTACATGGTTCAATAAGACGCCATGGTGCGAGGGCGACCACGCACGCTAATGGAGGACCCGGTGGTCGAGAGGGTCGACGACCGCAGCCGTTCGATGCTGCTGTCCACGTGCCGGCGCGCGTGTTGGAGGTACCGCGACTCGACGTTGGCATGCTCGATGCTCTCCATGAGCTCGTGTTTTGTCAGCTCGAGGTCTTCGGCCGACCCTTCGTCCAAGCTGTTGAGGCGCGGCGCTGTCCGAATCCTACCTCAATCTATCAAGTCGTCGCGCGCGAGTGAAAGCGCTTGTACCGCGGAATCGCTTTCGAGGGCAAGAGAGGCATGGCAAAGTCATTGATCGAATTGCTCTCGTCCTCCATGAGCGAAGGCGTGTTGCTGCGGCGCGGTGGCGGCTTGAGCATCGACATGGTCGTATGGGACCGCGCGCGGTTGGGCGTCGGCGGCACTTGGCTCGGCCGGTGCGACGCCGCGTCAAAGCACGTGGTGCACACGCGCTGGGGCACGGTAATCCCGAGGTACGGCAGCGGAATGCGCTTGTTCGAGTGCGCACTGCAGACCGAGACGCCGCACGCGCGGCAGTGGTGCCGCGCCCGGAACGTGCTGAACCGGAGTGTGGCAGATGTGGCACGCCTTCTCCTGCTTCCAGCGCGGCGGCAACGTCGTTTCAGCGACGACGGCCTGCCGCCTCGGCAGCAGGCCGGACGCAATGCGGTACGCGTTCTCGTGCTCGAGGAGCCAAATGTACGCGGGCGACTGCACCTTCTCGGCGAGATCGACCGGCGTCTCGTCGGTCGGCGTGTTGACGATGAGCGCATCGGGGTAGGCCGTGATGAGCCGAAGCAAGATCGCGTCGTCGACTTTCGCTTTGACGGCAATGTGCAATGGCAGGAGGCCGCCCTTGTTGATGCGCATGGTTGCGGCTTCGTACGCGTCGAGGAGCGCATCGATTGCCGCGACCGAGACCGTGCTATCGGTGCACGCCCAGTGCAGCGCGAGCATGCCAAAGTCGTCGCACTCGCGCGCTGCGTGCTTTTGCTCGGCGAGGAGGTCGACCAGCGCCGACCACTGCGACCGCTCGGCCAGCTCGATCGCGACGCGGGGCATCACTTCACCACAATTATGTCACGAATCCCGGTACTGCATGTAGGCAGTTCGATACAAACCCAGATACGGCGTCTGCGATTGGTCCATTATGTTTATGGATACCCAATTATGTGCGCGGAACGTCGGGACCGCGCCTCGGATTGGTCAAAAAGGGTATCGGCAGGCGATTGGTGAGATGTAGAGACAGTCTCGAAAAGTCGCGTGTGGGATGGGACAACGAGCGACGAGGCGGCGGCTACTCGGCCGACGCGACGGGACAGTCGTGCGTGCGTCCGTGCTTGCTGTGCCCCTCGGTGCGTAAACGGCGCTGGCGTGCGCGGGCTCCTATCGACAAATCACCCAAAACAAAAATCAAGTTGGATGCAAATCTCAAAGAATATCAACAGCTCGACAATAGTTTCAAGTATAGTACACTAGCAGCTATGGCACGGTTACGACGACATGGACGGGGACGATAGTATCGGCTCTAGCGTCGGCGCCTTTTCCCTTCCTATACTCATGACCTTGGACGACTGCGTGGAGAGGATCAGCGGCGCCTCGCTCTCTTCAATGATCCCCATGCTCGGCTCCGCCATCGACATGATGCGACTGTCGTGGCCGCCGAGCTCCTAGCACGGCGGTAAACTTCCAGATACAGAAAGGAACGCCGCAAATACCTTGGCGATGCTTGGGAGCATCGCGTGCTTGAAGTCGTCGTCGCGCGTGCTCCACCACTCGCGGTTCTCGAGCAGCGTCCGGTACCCTTCGTCCTTGACTTGCTCGCTGATGTTGCTCCAGACGTGGAAGAGCGGCGTCACGACAAAGTCGGCGAACCCAACTTGCATCTTCTTGAGCGAAATCGTGATCCGGTCCATGAAGGGCGACACGACGAGTCCGAGCGCTTTCTCTTTGTCGCCTTGGAGAAAGAATTCCTCGACGACGCGGTCCGTCCAGCGCACCATGGTAAGGCGCATCTTCGCCGGGTTGGACACGTCCGAAGTGTGCAGAATCATCTTCATCAAGAGCTTCTTGTCTCTAATCACAAAACAAAAATGGATGCAACAATCCAGCGGCGCCAAAACGTACCCGGCCGACTTGATGTCGACGACGTCGTCGGGCGTGGCCGGCATGATCGTCGCCTTGAAGAGCGCGACGTCTTCAAAGTGCTTGGCCATGTCCGTGCCGAGCACCATTTGAATCACCATGTCTCGCGCGTACCTATACGCGATCGTTGAAACAATGTGCTTGATACAAACGAGTTGCGACTTGAAATCTTCGGGCGTAAGGTTTTGAAACATATTGCAGCTCGTGGCTTTCATCGTCAAGAAGGTTTGTGCGACGTGGTAGTTTTCCAGCACCGCCGTGTCGTTGTAGCGGATCGCGAGCTCGGACCCTATTAGTCCCAAATGGCCTTTGGCTCAGACGCTATTGCTTCTCACCCGTCGCGATGTGGAACCCGTTGTTGAAGCCGTCGTGCTTGTAGTCGTGGATGCTCGCGGCGAGGAGCAGTAGCGTCTTATCGAGCGGCCGTAAAAAGCCCGTGATGGACGCGCGGCAGCTAAAGTAGTACGACGTCTGCATCACGTCGGCGGCGTGGATCGCATTGTGGTAAGGGTTGGTCAGAATGTAGCCTTTCTGGATCTCGAGGAGAAACGCAGCGAGGACCCGGCCTTCGATCTTGAGCGTGTCTTGGGCCATATCATGGAGGAGGTAGTAGCCCATGTGCGAGAGCGCATTGCCCCGCGTTACATCTAGTACGTAGCGTCACAGGAAGGAATCTATAGACAGAAGGACGCACGGTTGACTTGAAACACGTCAAAGTCCCAGTCGCCGACGGATGTCATGAGTACATTGAACTCGGCGCGGCCGTGCTCGGTGAGTGGGAAGAGGTCGTGGGTGCTCGAAGACTGCATCCGCAGCAGCGGCGGCGGCTGGAGACCGCCTCTTCCGTCGTCGTCGCCATTCTGGCCGCGCGGCGTCGACGGGTTCTGTGCATTGTCCCCGAGCCCCGCGTCGTTCTTCAAGAGCACATTGCGGAGGTAGTTTTGCGTGTCGGCGTCAATGTTCTGGTCCTGGATAAGGTGCTCGCTGGCGTCGTAGAGCTTGTTGCTTTTGATGACGTAGATCGCGTAGTCGAGCTCGTCGTGCGTTGTCGGTTTGATCCCCGGGTGGAACCGCAGCTCGCTCAGACACGCGAGCACCATCTCGAGCGGCGACTGGAGGCCGTTGTTGCCGCGATGGGCAAACTGAATCGCTTTCGACCGCTGCTTGATGCGCTCGAAGACTACGAGCAGCCGGAAGATGCGAAGAATGATGCGCAGCCGGAGCAGCGACACCACGAGCTTGGACTGGTTTTGCTGGCTCGTCGTGACGCTAATGATGCTGAGGACGAAGGATCCGACGACGACGATCGCGTCAAAGAGGTTCCAGAAGCCCTTGATTACATTCCAGCCAAAGCCAACGAGGCGGAGGCCCAATTCGAGCATGAGGAGTGACCCGACCACCAAGTCGACGTAGTTGAAGATGGGTTGGTACTCGTTCTCTGGGTGATCCAGGTCGTGCTGCGCAAACGTATCTGCAAAGGCAATTTGCACCAGCTACAAAGCGAGGTCCACTTGACTCCATATTCAGTCGCACGATCGGCGTACCACGAAGATGCCGTACGTGATGACGAGCGTGATGAAGAAGAACTCGACCTTCATGTTCATCATGAAGCTGCCGACGCGTGCCCGGTGCCTACACGACAAATCGTGACGAATGCTAAAACAGACAGGTTGTCCTCGCACTTGGCCATCCACTTGGCCCTCGGCTGCTGCTTGACGCGGACGCCGCCGCGCCGGACACCCGTGGCTTCGAGTGCCTTTTGCATCGGAAGCGAGTCGGACGGCACGACCGACCGCGCGCCGGGCTTGGCCGACATGCGTGGCGACTTGACGCTCACGCTCATCACCCGTGGCACCCAAGCACCAAATACGACGCGCCTTTTTTAAACAGGCGGCGAAACTCCTCCTATACTTAGCGTCCGGTAGCAACAATAGCAGGGATGGCGTCACAGCGCTTTAATAGACGTTAGGCTACATGATCGCCTTGTAAAAGCCACTTGGGAGCAAGCCGCGCGCCGCAGCTTCGTCGAGCTGCTCGATGCACGGGCGACACGCTATGTATGTCGTGTCGGGCAGGTCGGACGGCGCGGGGCCGAGCATCACCGCGGCCCGGGGCACGTGCTTCTACTCGAACAAGATGTAATACATAAGTGCATCGGGGGCGAACCTCGCAGTAGGCGGCGACGCAGAACCGGCAGCAGTGCGTCGTTGGCGCCGAGCACTTGAAGCAAAAGTGGCGCGGGCAGCGCCAGAGGCCTTTGTCTGGAATCGCACTCCCAAGGCAGTCTACATATCGTTCTTGGCTCGACGTGGCAGGATGTGGTCCTACCTGGACTTTAGGGCAGCGCACAGCCCCCTTGTGTTTCCTACGATGGTTAAGTGCTGCGAGCTCGTCGCAGTATGATGTACGTACGCGATGTGGTCACACTCGATGAGGACGCCGCCGTCCTTGCAGCAGAAGCACGAATCTTCCGAGATCTTGGCCGGGACTTTGTTGGCCTCGCGCTGCACGAGCATCTGCGCGTAGCTGACCGTGTACGTCAGCGCGTCATTCGGGTCGACGAGGACGATGCCCATCGCCTTGGCCTTTGGTCTACATCAATAATGACGCCTTGAAGAGACGACAAAGCTACTGGATCGCAATCGAGGCAAAGGAGGGGAGGACGCAGGACGCGCACTGCCACTTGGTTTTCGCCGCACATAGCGAGGTGCCCATGAGGTCTTGGCACGGGTCGCAGAACTCGCGCTTGCACGTGCTGCAGCGCAACTCGGTGTCGTCGAGGCCACCGCACAGCGTGCAGAACGGCACCGACCCCTCTTGGCTCGCGCGCAGCGTCTCGAGACACGACGCGCAGAGCGAGAGCGGTTGCCCGCGCGTGTTCTAGTGCGTCGGTCACGTCGATTCCAGGTCGCTTAGCGCACCTGGAGGACAGACGGATGCGGCGCCACATCGTCCTTGGACGTGCACACAACGCAGGTCGGCAGCTGCCTACGCAATCGTGAGCGTCAAGGGGCATAAAGGCAGCGCGCGCACGGTGGCAGCTGGCAGGCCTCGCACGAGCAGGCGTGGGCGCAGAGCCGGCAGTGATACCGAATCGCGCCCGAGAGAAACTCGGTCTCGTCTTGGCCAAAGTGCTTTCGCACGCAGTTGGCGCAGTACGTGTGGCGAGCCTCTCCGTTGGGGCAGTGGAACATACGGTCGTGTCTACAGGCACGTGAGAATCCTGCGTTGCAGCGCATGCTGGGTAGTACGCGAGATGGCAGAGGTGGCAGACGCTCCGAGCGTCATTCGCGCTAGACAATGTCCATGAGGATGAGGGCTGGAGGCAGAAGAGGTACCTTGCGGGTTTCGCGCTGCCAATCCACTGGAGGTTGAACGTGCGATTGTCGCTGCTCGCATCGTGGCGCGGCTGCTTCTTCCGTGCGCGCACTGGCTCGTCGCGCACGCGCTTGATCGCGTTCTTTTCCTTGCGATCTTCGGTCGCGACGATGGACGTCATGATGTTAGCGCACGTAGCGTAGTGCTTGGCGTCGAGGCTGTGCTGGACGAGCGCGAGCTGCTCCTGGCGGCGAATGGACGCGACTGCGCGCTGGACCTCGGCGAACGCAAAGGCCGCGTCGAAGCGGAAGCAGTGCACGGCCGCTTCGTCTGCGTGCCAAAACACCGCGCCCGCTTCAAGCGTCACGTCGGCGAGGCGCGCGATGCTGAGGAGCTGCTTCGTCGCCGGGTCCTGGAAGAGCGCCTTGGCATCGACGGTCCCAGACGCGTCAATCTCTGACGGCGCAATGCGCTCGATCACAAGGACGAGCTCGCAAGACGCTGCGACGGCGCGGAAGCCTGGGCCCGCGTCGCGCCGACGCTCCAGGAGCGCTCCTCGGAAACCCATTTTGATGGTCGACGCAACTAAAACGCGATGACCTGCCTCTGTTTAAACGCGTTTAACATAATGACGTCAAAGGGGTTCAATCTATTGTAGTGAAAGAGCAGGCTATACTGCTACTGTAGTACGGTGCATGCTCGCGTTGGGGGAAATGGATGCTCGAGAGGCTTTTGCAGCGGGGTCTCTACCACGTACGAAATCGCATGCGTCGGTGCTTGGGTTGTCCGACTGCCTTATGATGTGTGTGGCTGGTTGCTTCTCAGTCCTCTTATTCCAGTTGGTCAAGTTGGTGCAGTAAATGTTGGCACTTGACTCTTCTGGCTTTCGCACGCTCCGTGTGGTCTTGTTTTCTGGAAGTCTACCCACTAGCTGCACGCTCACCCGACCAGGTGGGTGTACAACAGAACATGGTTGTACGTACCACTGCCCTGCACTCGACGCGTGTGAATTTGCATTGTGGTAATCCATCCGTTGTTGTCGTACGTAGAATAGTATGACCGCCTGAAAAATCGCGTTAAAGCTTGTCCAGGTCTCCACGACGAGCGTCCTTTAATCCCTCGCCTGCATGGTACTAGACGTCCTGCGTCGAGAGGTCCTCTGGCAGCCACGCGGTTGCGCTTTTTTGGTGCATGCGATGAGCGGCCAACATCGTTGCGCAAGTGACCAGGCCACACTTGCCACACGCTCGATGTATAGGATCTGGCTGGTTCGTTCAGAGTCGAAATGGCTGACCCACCACCGACGTCGATCCCGAGAGGCTTTGCGCAGCTGCCACCGGCCTTTCTACCAGCGTACCGCCGCCTCCAGATCGTCAATGCGGTCGGGTATGCCATCCTCGCGCTCGTCTGCGCCGCGCTCATCGTGCATCTGCGGCGGCACCGCGCGACCGCGTACTCGGGCGACGACGGCGCGACGCGCAAGCTCATTTTGCCGTCGTTCGAGCCGCTGCTGCGGACGATCGCCATCGCCTCGCTCGTGCTTGGCCTCTACTTTACCGTCGTCGCCATGGTCAACTTTACCGGCGCGCTCGGGTCCGGCGTCGCGCTCCAAGCGCTCTTCCAAGGCCGGCAGGCGCTCAACCACTTTATCGTGCTCTTCTTCCGCCAGCCAAGCGTGTCGAAGCGGGCGCTGCGGCGCGCGGGCGCGGGCGCGCTCGGCCTCATGGCGCCGCCGCTGACGATGGCGACCATCTTTACGCTTCTCGACACGGAAAACACGACGCGGTTCATTGCGCAGACCGTCTACTCTGGCCTCCTCGCGTGCGGCTACGTGTACATTGCGATCTTCCCGCTCTCGCGCGCGTCGCCGCGAGTGTGGCGCGAGTTTGCCGGCTTCGTTTTGGTCTATTACACCGCGCTCGGGATCCAGTCGTACCTCTTCTTTCGCGAAAACATGGGCGTCGGCGCCACCTTCTTGGTTGGGATGCTCGTGTGGGACACGCTTCTGCCCTACTTTCTATGGCGGCTCCTCCGCGCCGACACGGAGCACTGGCGCGGCCTCGGGCAGCGCGCGGTCTCGCTGAGTAGTGCTGCGCAAGAGCGCATGACGACGCCCGTGCTCCACGAAGCCGTCTCGAGCGAGGGCCTCCACGTGCTTTTAGAGCTCCACGAGCACCACGTTGTGGACTTTGCCCATCTCAAGGTCGACGACTGCCTCGGCGGCGGCTTGGCGTCCTCCGTGCACCGGGGCATCCTCTATGCCAAGTGGCCGGTCGCGATCAAGGTGTTTACGCCGCCCGAGATCTCGCCAGCGACGATCGCAGAATTCTCCCACGAGGCCGCGCTCTGGGCCGCGCTGCAGCACCCGAATGTGGTCGCATTCTATGGGATTTGCGTCTCGCCGCCGGCCATTTGCCTCGTGTCCGAGCTCTGCGTCGTCGGGACCCTCGGCGACGTTGTGCGTGCGCCGCCGCCGGTGTACCGCGAGCCGCTCTGGCCGCAGCTGTGTCTGATGCTGGACGCGGCCCGCGCGGTGGCGTACCTCCATAGCTTCACGCCACCCTTTCTCCACCGCGACCTGAAGCCCTCGAGCTTCCTCTTGAACGAAGATTATGTGCTCAAGCTCTCGGACTTTGGCGACGCGCGGAGCACCGCGGGGCGCGAGCGCAGCATGACGGTGCGCGGCACGTTCGACTACATGGCGCCCGAGGTCATCGACGGCGCGATGGGCCGCGCGTCGTACGATGACCGCGCCGATGTCTTTAGCTTGGCGATCACGCTCTGGGACATCTGCCACCCGGGGCGCGACAAGTACCCGCTCGGGCACCACAACCATTTCCGCGTCTTTGAGCTCGTGCTGGACGGCCACCGGCCACCGATAGACGCGAATTTGCACCCGGCGCTGGCCGATCTTCTCGAGAGCGCGTGGTGTCCATCGCCTGCTTACCGCATCTCGGCGTCGAATATCGTTGCGCGCCTCGAGCAGCTCCAAGCGGCAATGAGTGCAGCGGTGTTCGCGCCGCAGCTGTGCGCGCCGCCGGTCGTCGAGGTGACGGGCGATGCGCTTGTCCGCCGAGTTCTCGACGGTCCGTTTGCCTTCTCAGCGGCCGAGGCAACCCGTCTCTGCAACGGCCTCATGGACGGCGGTGTGCTCCACCACTACAACCACAAGAAGCCTTTCTTCGACAACCACTCGAGCATCTACCACTTCTCGACGCGAGCGCAGATGGACTTTGGCTCGAGCGAAGCGAAGGCGACGGTTGTCTGTGACTGCCCACGACTGGCGCAAGGAGCACACAAGTTGCTCTCGATGAAAGCGCCGTACTGGCTGCCGTGGCGGTCCTGGCGAAGCCCCAGCCCACTGCGCACGAGGCTACTGAGCCGCGAGAGTACGAGTATACTGCAGGACGATAGCCAAACAACACGTTCCATCATTTTGGGCATCTACGCGCGCGTTGTCGTCCGAGCGAGAAGTGTTCTGCTGTGAATGCATCGAGCTATGAAAAGCCGACGAGCGGAGGAAGGATGAAGCAGGGATAGGGTCACCGACACGAGTAGCTACTTTGTGGGAAGGGATTGTGCCGATCTGGCGCGGCAAACGTCACCGGTAGTTGTAGCGCTCACTAGTACCAGAGACAATCACGCGAGTGATGAGCAGGTGGCAGACGAGGTGCAATCCACGTCTCGTCTTCCATACACACGTTGCATGACCTGCTCCTCACATCTCGATTCCATGGAATTGGTCAATGACACAACTCTGTCGGACCATTCAGTACATACACGTGCAAGGTACTATTAGCAGTATCAGGCAAAGATCCGTCGTAGTCACACCAGTGTAATACAATCTGTCGCGAGAAGACTCGACCGACCCAGTACGCTCTGCACAAGCAGGAAGGCTCAGTTTGAAAACGTCTCGATCATGGCACCGATGGTTTGCATAGGACCGGGGCTAGGGTTACAAACGTATGGTTGTTGTACGTTTCATCAAGGTGGACATCGTGTGCAAGATAAATTTGAGAATTGGAACACGAAAAACTATACTAGTAGACGTTAACGTCTATGAGAACTAAAAAGGGTCCCATTGTTGCATTGGTGTGGCGAATACCGTCCAGCCACCGTTCTGGAGCAAGTACTGGCCACACGCGCTGGGGCATTGAATGACGACGTCGACAGCTTGTCGTTGGATCTTCATTTCTCTGTCGCATTTACAGTGCATGCACCCTCGCGTCATTGCAAAGAGTGGGACGTCGCGCTGCCACCAATTACCACACAAAGTGAAAGCACTGGCACGTCTCTTGGCCTCGGTGGTCACTAACAGGGAAGGCCGCGAGTATCATCGTCGCATCGGGCCTTCGGCGCCGCGTCGTCGCTTTCGCCAGCAAGATCCAACACTAAGATCCAATAAGATCTCGGTCGGCCACATTGCACTTCAGAAGTGCAAACTGGTTACTTTTGTCATCACACCCACCACTCCTCCCAACATGCTTCAATCCGAAGTGGACGCAGCTCGTGGACTCGTAGTAGCAGATCCGGCGAGATGAGCGATCGCGTTCTGAAGACCGAAATCTTCTCTACTACAGTAATACACGAGTCGCTGGTATCTCACGTCAATGGCGAGGCGATAGAGAGGCCACAAGACGGGCCACATCAGGTTCTGCGCGTACTACTGTTGCCGGTGATGTGTAGCACAACGTGACGCGGTCGTAGGTTTGAAGGGCGCGTGTTACTTTGCCTACGAACGAACCGCAGGTGGAGGTGGATGCGTTCGCATCATCGATCGCAGAAGCTTGCCACAATTCAATTTTGATCGCCACACATGTCTGCGCCCCCGGGGGAGGCGGTCCTTGGTGATGCCTTTTACCATGACTACCGCAAGGTCCAGGTCGTCAACGTCTTTGGCTACGGCCTCCTCTTGATCGCATCGCTCTCGATCATCGTGCATCTCCGACGGACGCGGTCCACGGCGTACCTCGGCGACATGGAGGCTGCCAAGAAAGTTCTGCTTCCGGCTTTTGAGCCGCTCTTGTGGATCCTCGCCGCCGTCGCGTTCGGCTACAGTAGCTTCTACCTTGGTGCGGCGGTCGCCAGCTACTCGGGCCCGCTCTCGTCGCCCGTGTACGCCGAAGCACTCTATATGCCGCGTCAGTTCAACAGCTACCTCGTCGTCGCCTACCTCAGCCAGCCGAGCTTGTCGCTGCCGTCAATGCATCGTGCGCTCGCGATTGCAGTCGTCTTGGCGGCCGGCGCGCCGCTCATTGCGCTCGTCGCGGTCGCGCTGGAGACCGACTCGCACGTCCGGTACATCCTCCTCACGATCTACCGGTCGTTCATGGTCCTCGGCTTTCTCTACCGCTTTGTCTACCCGGGCTCGCGCGCCAATCGCCGCGCGTGGCGCATCTTCCTTAGCTTCGTGCTCGTCTACTACGCGAGCTTCTTCTCGCAGACGTACATGTTTTACAAAGACTTCTCGACCGAAGGCACGTTCTTCCTCTTCACGACGTCGTTCTGGTACGTCTTGGCGCCGTTCGCCATCTGGCAGCTCCTCAAGGCCGACACGGAGCACTGGCGCGGCGTCGGGCGCCAAGCCATTCTGCAGCACCCGACAACGAAAGTCCACGAAGTCGTGTCGGCCCAAGGTCTGCATGTCTTGCTCGAAGTGCACCAGCGCGACGTGATTGATTTCGCGCACCTCAAGATCGACGACAAGATCGGCGTGGGCGCGACCTCGGACGTCTACAAGGGCCTGCTTCGGTCCTCAACGCGCGTCGCGGTCAAGGTGTACACGCCCAACGAGATTTCCGAAGCGACGATCGCCGAGTTTTCCCAAGAAACCGCGCTCTGCGCGGCGCTCAAGCACCCGAACATCGTCGCGTTCTACGGCATGTGCGTTGCGCCGCCCGCGATTTGCCTCGTGTCCGAGCTCTGCGAGTGCTCGCTCGACGCGCTTCTGACGCAGCCCCGGCCCGCGTACACGGACCCGCTGCTCGCCCAAGTGACGCTCATGCTGGACGCGGCCCGGGCCGTCGCGTACCTCCATAGCTTTTCGCCGCCGTTCTTGCACCGCGATCTCAAACCGGCCAACTTTCTACTAGACACAAATCATGTGCTCAAGCTCACGGACTTTGGCGAGTCGCGCAGTCTCTCGACGCGCGCGATGACCATCAAGGGCACGATCGAGTACATGGCGCCGGAAGTCATCGAAGGCAAGCAAGGCGTCGCGACGTACACGCATGTGGCCGACGTCTACTCGCTCGCGATCACGCTCTGGGACATTTTGCACCCGGGCCGCGAAAAGTACCCGGTCGGCCGCCAGAACCCGCTCAAGATCTTTGAGATGGTGCTCGATGGGCAGCGCCCGCCGCTCGACCACGAGCTGCACCCGCTCTTGCGGGATGTGCTCGAGAGTGCTTGGTGTTCGCAGCCCGAGTACCGCCCGTCGGCCGTCGCGATCGTCCAAGCCCTCGAACAAGTCCAGGAAGAGCTCTGCGGCATCGTTGCGCAGAACCTCCTCCGCGTCATCAAGTGCCTCGGGCCGCGCTTGGCGGCCACGGGCGCCGAGCTCACGCACTGCTTGATCCAAAACGAGTATGCGTTCACGGTGGCCGAAGCGACGCGGCTTGGGAACGCGCTCATGGACGCGGGTCTCTTGCACCACGAGACGCACGAGCGCGCGTTTGAGGACTCGGCGACGACCACGTACTTCTTCCACGAGCAAGCGATCGAGCTCAGCCAGCCATGCGTGCTCCTCTCCAAGGACAAGTCGAACGACGGCGGGGATAGCAACTACAACGCCGACCTCCTCGAAGCCGGGTGTCGCTGCCGCCAGCACGCGCAAGGGCACGTGCCGCAGACAAAAACAAAGTGGTATCAACGCCCGCGGAAGGACGTGCGCACAAAAGTAAACGCGCTCACCGTACACTTGCTCAACGACCTCGCCGAAGACGACGCGCTGCACAAGGTCTCCGACACAACGTCGCTCTCGGGGTAGTTCATGTAGTGTCGGCGACTCGGTCCTTTTCTTGATGTTGTTTCTAATGACGTGCTGTGCTCTATGTTGTGCTTCGCTATGTGCATCGCATCCGCGTCCATCTGTCGCGAAAAGGCAAAGTGTATCTTCCCAACCCTACCCCCATGTGCACCAAGTACTGGATCGGAAGAGGGCTGTACAAGTACTATGGAACGCGGAGATAGATCTATAGTGCACCACTGGTCCGTCCTCTGGGTGCAACATTGCGCCTCCATGGCTCACGCTCTTGGCGTGACACCCTTCTGCCGCAAGCGTCGTGCGTAAGAAGCGGAATCGAGTTTCTTTAAGTTAGTAGGAACTGTGGATTTTATACAATTGCCACTTGTCCCCTCAATCATCGTCGAGCAGTGCGAGGCCGATGCTGTCGGACGAGAGCCGGTCCGTCGTTCCTTGCATGGGCAGTATTGGTACCTTGCTTTTTCGTGGTCGCGGCGGAGCAGGCGGGTGACGCTGTTGTGTCGACGATGGCCGGCGGGACCGCCGGGCGCCAAAGCCCTGGGCGTAGCTACGGCACGCGCACGTCGCGGCTGTTGTCGCCACGGGCGCGCGGGGCGCGGCGCCCTGCACGGACAACTCGTCTTCGCCAATGCAGTCGAGTGGCGAGCCCGCGGTTTCAAACATGTAGAGCTCGTCGTGCCGGCCTTCAAAGCCGCGGTGGTGGGTAATGTGGTGGAGGTACCCCGCGTCCATGAGCATTTGCCCGATCCGAAGCGCGGCCTGTGAACTGCGCGCGTACTCGAGTTCGCAGAGGCCGTCGACAACCGCGTCTCCTGGGATGCCCACCGCCAGCTTGGGGCGCGGGGCGCCGTGGAAGCGAAGCAGCTCGCAGCGCGGCGATCGGTACATGTCGCCAGCCACGGCACACAAAAGCGACACCTGCAGCGCCTCGAGGTCCCGCACGATGGCGGCGGCCGACGGGCGAAAATGAGGCTCGTCGCCCCACGCACTCGTCACAATCTCTTGCAAGGCAACATGCACCTCGTGGTGCATCGCGGGTCGGTGGCCGTCAAGAACCATCTCAAAGACGCGAAACGTGTTGCCATATCCGTTCGGGTACTTGTCGCGGCCCGGGTGCAAAATGTCCCAGAACGTCATGCCCAGACTGTAGACGTCGGCGGCTTCGCAGTAGGTCGCTGCGCCTCTCGTGCCGCCAATGATCTCGGGCGCCATGTACTCGACCGTGCCTTGCATCGACATGAGTACGTCGCCGGGGTGGGCGACCGGCGTGGCCGCGCCCCGGGGCGCGAGACGTCGCGTGGCCGAAAAGTCCGTGAGCTTGAGCACGTGCTGGTCGTCGACGAGAAAGCTCGCGGGGCGCACATCCCGATGCAAGAATGGTGGGGAAAAGCTGTGGAGGTACGCGACCGCGCGGGCGGCGTCGAGCATAAGACCGAGCTGGTCGAGCACCGGGGCGCGCGTCGGCGGCGGCGGCTCGGTGAGGTACGCCTCGAGCGAGCACTCGCAGAGCTCCGTGACGAGGCACACCATGGGTGGCGAGATGCACATGCCGTAGAACGTCACCACGTTCGGGTGGGCAAACAGCGCACAGCGCGCGGTCTCTTGGGAGAAGACAGCGAGCGTCGCCTCGGTGATCTCCGACGGCGCGTAGACCTTGACCGCCACCGCGTACCGGCCGTGGAGTGCGCCGCGGTAGATCTGCGCGTTGGCGCCAACACCGATCTTGACCTCGAGCTTGAGATGGGCAAAGTCGATGACGCAGTCGCGGTGGCGGTCGAGGAGGTCGTGGAGCCCTTTGGTCGAGACGGCCTCGTCCATCATCGGCGTCTCGGTGGCGCTGGCGAGGCCGCGCCAGTACTGCGTGTCGGCTTGGAGCAGCCGCCAGATCCAGATGGGCGTCACCGACGCGTACAAGGCGGTGGCAAAGACGGTTTGGTTGGTGGGCTTGACGTGCTCGTGGAAGGCAAGCGTCATGACGACGAGGACAAGTGCATGGAAGCCGAGGATGTAGGCGCAGAAGCACCGAATGATGCGCGGATTCGCACGGGACATGGGCCACCGAAGCAGGTAGAGGTAGTAGAGCATGACGCCGACGCGCACGACCACGAGGCTGTAGTAGCACGACGGCGACGTGATCGCCGGCAGCTCGACAGGTTCAAAGTGCGCAAAGACCGCGGCGATGGCGACCGGTATCGTGGACAGGAGAAGGCTCAGCAGCGTCGAGCGCCACAGCGCGCGCGCCGACACGTTCGTTTGGTGCAAGAAGATGGTCACAAGGTACACGATGCACTGCCGGCCTTGCAGAAGCGCCTCGGGCAGCACGCGCGAGCGCGGCGCAATGGCCTCGGACTGCCAGAGGAGGTAGACCAAGAAGAGCGTGAAGGGCGTCGTGAGGCCGCAGAGGACCCAAAAGAGCGGCTCGAACGCTGGCAGGAGCACCTTGCGCGCCGCGTCGACGTCGCCCGCGTAGGCGGACGACCGGTGCCGGCGGAGGTACGCGATGCAAGCGACCGAAAGGCCGAGCATGATGCCGTAGCCCGCTGCGTAGGCGAGCTGCGTCGTGCGCGCGTGCGCCAAGACGTACGTGGTCGCGTTCATCTCATGCGCGGTCTTGGCTCGGCCGTCAATCGGAGAAAGGCCAGAGAAGGCCAGTTGGTGGATAAGCACCACTTGACAGATCGCAGACAGTCGCAAAGTGCAAAGCAGCTACGTCACATGGCTGTGGAGACCCGTGCAAGGACCTGTGAAGTGCAGTAGGATAATGACTCGAAGGAGCGTCGCCTTGAGTATTGTGCTCAGAGCAATGCACGTAGCTGCCACAGCGGTGCTACTTGCTGTGCGCTTCTGTATGTAATGAGGGAGCCACCGAGCAAGATCCAGTCAGCGGCAAAACAAATGGTACGACCCTGGTACAGCACCTGATATGGTCGATGGGTCCAGCCAAATTTGCCCCGCACACGCATTATTGCCTCGCTACGTCGTTGGTCTTATCAAGGCCATAAATTGATGGCCTTCGTCTTATTAACCATGGGTCTTATCATGACCAGCATGGCCAGCTGCTGCGAGAATGGATCGAGGTGGCAGCCCGATTGATGACAAGGCGTGTGGACGAGCGGCATGCTACCACAGCATGGTAGTACAGTATGCAACATTGTGGTGCGGGCATGTCGTAGTCCGAGGATCGACGGCGCTGAGAGCGGAGAGGCGTTCTCGGATGACCACGATTACACGACTAGAGGAATCCAAGACTAAGCTGGTGTTGGTAGTACCAAGCGGACGGAACCTTGCGATTCCGCGGTGAAGTTGTCGGCGGACGCCACACAGCTAGTCTAAAATGCGTGTTTATAGACCTCTCCCAATTGCGCGAGATAGAAGTGCCTTTTAAAACGCAATTGCACTGAACCGAGCTATCAACCGAGGTTGAAATTTCTCGTCCGGAAGCTTTCGCTGAGAACTGGTGCATCATGAGTCACGACCTTGAATGTCAGTAGCTAGCAGCACTACTGCACTGAAGACCGCTGCCCAGTTTCGATTTTCTCCAAATCGCTCTATGGTGTGGGCCAACAGCTCGGGACCTGGCTTCGAGCCCTATGGCGGCGGTCCCCGCGGGGATGGCCACCATGGCAACCATACTGGCAGCAAGTGGGGCGGGCGAGGTCGCGGTCCCCGGCCTTGCAACGGGTCTGCGCCCGCTTACTTTGCCGCCAAATTCCGCAACTTCCAGACGATCAATGCTGTCGGGTACGCGATCACGCTCTTGATCGCTGTCGGCCTCGTCCTCTACCTCCGCCGGCACCGGTCGTCGGCGTACTCGGGCAACACGGCTGCGGCGCGCAAGGTGCTCCTACCGTCCTTTGAGCCGCTCTTGTGGGCGGTCATTGCCATCTCGGGGCTCTACTGTCTCTACTTTGTCTTCGCCGCCGCCACCGACGACATGTTCGCCGTGCACTCGCCCGTCTTTCTGCAAGCGCTGCACCAAGGCCGGCAGTGTCTCTTCTACCTCATCGTGGCCTTTCTCCATCAAAGCAGCGTCTCGCGCCGGGCGCTGTGGCGAGCGCTGCTCATTGCGCTCTTGCTGGCGCTCCTTCCGATCGCCCTCTTTCTCGTGATCCCCGAGACGAACCGCGAGGCCATTCCGATTGCCGAAGCCGTCTACCTCGGTCTGATGCTGCTCGGCTTTCTCAAGCTGCTTCTGTGGCCGCCGTTGCGCGCCAGTCGAAGCGCGTGGCGGCAGTTTGCTCTCTTTGCGATCGTGTACTTCGCCACATCATGTGCGCACCACTGGCTCTTCGCCGCCGCCGGGTGGCAAGCCGGCACCATCCTGGTCTTCTTCAGCACGATCTGGGCGGCGATGCTGCCGTACTTTATCTGGCGCCTCCTCCAAGCCGACACCAACTACTGGCGCGGCCTCGGGCAGCACGCGGCCATGGCCTCGCCGCACGACCACCGCCGTATCCACGAGATCGTGTCGGCGCAAGGTCTGCACGTACTCCTCGAAGTCCACCAGCACGACGTCATCGACTTTGCGCATCTCGAGCTCCAAACAAAGATCGGTGTCGGCGCGACCGCCACCGTGTACAAGGGCCTCCTCGAGTCCAAGCAGCCGGTGGCCATCAAGGTGTACACGCCGCGCGAGATTTCCGAAGCGACGATCGCCGAGTTCTCCGAGGAAACCGCGCTCTGCGCCGTGCTCAAGCACCCAAACATCGTCGCGTTCTACGGCATGTGCGTCTCGCCGCCAACCATCTGCCTCGTGTCCGAGCTCTGCGAGTGCTCGCTGGACGCGCTGCTGGCGGGGCCGCAAACCGAGCTCGCCGAGCCGCTCTGGCCACGCCTCTGCTACCTTCTCGACGCCGCCCGCGCTGTCGCCTATCTCCATAGCTTTCGCCCGCCATTCGTCCACCGCGACCTGAAGCCTAGCAACTTTTTACTGGACGCGAATCATGTGCTCAAGCTCACGGACTTTGGCGCGTCACGAAGCATGGCGGCCCGGCGCAATATCACCGACGACGACGACATGTATGCTGCCCATGACGACGTGCTACACACGGAGCGCAGCATGACGGTGCGGGGCACGGCCGACTACATGGCGCCCGAGGTCATTGACGCGCGCCAGGGCCGCGCCAGCTACAGCGAAGCCGCAGACATTTACAGCCTCGCGATTACGTTCTGGGACGTGCTTCACCCGGGCCGCGAAAAGTACAGCAGTGCCGACAACCATCTGCAGGTGTTTAGTGTCGTCCTCGACGGGGACCGCCCGCCGCTGCACCCAGACTTGCACCCGCCGCTGCGTAGCCTTCTTGAGGGCATGTGGGGCGTCTCGCCTGAGTACCGTCCGACGGCGACCGCCGTGGTCGCGTCACTTGAAAACATATTGCGGGACATGTTGCCACGCATCGCGCAGCGCCTTCATAAGCTCCTGCAGACGGCCGCGAAGCGGAAAGCGTCGTGGAGCCACGTCGCGGATGACGCGGTCCTTCTCGTCTCGGGCGAAGAGATCGCGCACTGCCTCGTCGAGCATGGGTACGCGAATGACATTGGCCTAGCGACACGCCTCGGCAACAGCCTCCTCGACGCTGGCTACGTGCACCATCTTCGGCACACCAAGCACTTTGAAGCGTCGCCGGCGACCTACTATTTCGACATGATCGAGATCGAGCTGTGCTTGACGCCTGCCGTCGGTGCACTCGGTGTGACGGCGGTATCGGCGATGGACGACGACGACGACGACGCGCAGATGGCCGTGCTCCTTGAGAAACCGCGGTGCATGTGTCGGAAGCTGGCGCAAGGCCATTTTGGCATGACCAAAGCGAGTTTGTTTCGGCGCCGGCGACACATGCACGCACCGCTGAGCCACCATGCACTCACGGTGCATCTCCTCAACGAGGTCGGCGAAGAAGAAGCCGTCGTCGTCTCGCGCACGTAACACATGTTGAGAGATTAGGGTTACTACGACTTGAGTTGGTAATACTTGTTGGTTCTCGGGTCGTGGTAGCAGTGCAAGACCGGGTCATAGAGCAAGTCCATGCTGCTGGGCTCGGGCGCCGACCAGTCCGTGGACGCTAGCACAGAGACGCGAGTCTCGACAAGTGATGACGATCCTGCGTACCGAGAAGGGACTTGAGCCGCGGGTCTTGGCGAGCACTCGACAGCAGCTGCTCCCTACGGCGCCACCGTGGGTTTCTGGACCCTCGCGTGTACAAGTACATGGACGATTGCGTCGGCAGCAACGGCGTTTTGACGGGCGATGCGCTTCTGTGTACCATCACTGGCAGCGAATCTTCGAGCTCGTTATCAAAGTCAAAGCTGGTTTCTTCCGCGGCAGCGGGAAGCTCGTCCGTCCTAGTACGTACTACGCGGTCAACGGCATACCCTTGCATGTTTCAAGTCTAGCACATGTCGAAGGAAACATCGCTGGCAGCGTCGTCGTCGATCTCGATCCCGTCGGCTTGGAGTTGTACTGCCATGACGTCGCGGGTTGTCTCGGGCGTCTCTGGCGCGTCCGCTTTGCTCGATGACACACTCGTCGGCTGGGCTCCTGGGCTACTTGGTCGATAGCTACAGGTGAGGTTCCCTACACGACGAAGAGCGAATCAACAGCGCCCGCGACGGTCAGAGCAACGTACAAGCCGGCTCGATGCCGCCTCGAGCAACGTCCGAGCACTCCATGTTGCTGTGGATTCGAAAGCGCTGTCTGGCGCACGCGTAAAACCAGTGGACGTCTCTTGTGGGTCGTGTTGGTTTGGCGTCTCTTCTGCCAAGTCCAAACGCGGGGCTGGTTCGTCGCGGTCGAGCGGCGTGTCATAGGGTGACGTCACCACCACCTCAGGGGCGCGCAATGGCTCGTGCACAGCTGCTTGCATGCGTGACGCAAGCCCACGGCTCGCCTCATCATCATCGCTGTCGTCGTCCCACGACGCAAACTTGGAGGCCGTCGGTTTGGAGGGCGGGGTCGTGCGGAGCGGAGGAATGCGAAGCGATGCGAAGTCAAAGATCGATGGCGACGGTCGGTACACGCTCGTCAAAGGTGAGCTCCGAAGCACACTCGGTGGGTCGACCGCCACGTGGCTACTGCGAGGCAAATCCACGTTGGATTCGGTCTTTGTCGTCGGCGGTTGGAGAAGACTCGGCTTCTTCAAACCATCGCATTTTCGCGTTGCGCTCGGACGCTTGGTCGTGCTGGCCGACGAGTGAGGTCGCGCCGCCGGCGTCAATTTCTTGCTTGTCGGCGCCGTCTCCGGGCGACTGGCCTTTGGCTTGGCGGGTGCTGCGATGACCGGGATCGAGAAAGTCTCCACTGCGCACCCTGGTACCGCAAATGCCCGTGGGATCTCGACATAGTGCTCGTCATCTACAGAGCCACTGAGTCAACGCGTCGTGGGTGTACGGGCAGAGACCCGATGCAAAGGCAGCGGCAGCGCTCATTGGCGGGTCCTTCATCGTGAAAATGCGCCGGAGCTTCCAGGACCCACAGAGGACGATCGAGTCGAGCGTTCGAAGCGCTTGGCTTGGAAAGCCTGACGCCACGAGGCGCGCGACGTCAAAGGTCCAGTGCATCCATGTCTCGCGGCGCAGCTGCTGGAAAGGAATCTAACGCGCCATCGATGCTATACAACATACATGATAAGGTCGTCTACCTGGGCGTGCAGCTGGTGCACAGCGCAGTCTCGAAACGCAGTCGAGAGGAGGAGCCGACGGCGGTTGCCGGCTACGTCCGTGACGCCGAGCTCGAGCGAGATGGCCTTGCCGCTCGGCAGCCACGCTTGCAGCACCACGTAGCGGTGCGTAAGGCCCACTACGCTATCCCTCTTGCAACAGGTTATAGAGTCGCGTCGTACGAGGCTTGGTATCCTTGGGCAGCGAAAGTTTCGTGGCGGCCGCGGGGCCGTCCAGCACCATGAGGTACGCTTTGGACGCCTTGTCAAACTCGCGCCGGACCTTGCCCAACGTCTTCCAGTGTGCTGCCGGGTCCTTCCCGCTCGCCGTGAGGAGCTCGATGCTGTCGCTGCCCTGGAAAAACATGGCTTTTGGCGGTGTCGCTTCAAGATGCGAATATGTCCGAATTGTCCAGTTGGAAAATGTCCGAATTGGGCACCGCGAACTATAATTTCCTTCAATTCCATCCGCTTGATACCAAAACGCCACTTTGCCGTTCCACGTGGCAGCGTGGCGTGCAAGAGATCACATGTATAGATGCACACGGTACGTATTCTTATCGCGCCACGTCATATAGTTCTTATTGCGTGTTGTTGTACATGTCAATGACCTCGTCGCACATGGGGTCCGAGACGGTCCGGTAGATCGGCGCCGTGCCCATCGTGAGGTTCTTCATCTGCATGCGCGCGTCGCAGCGTTCGTCGTGGAGGCGCTTGAAGTACGCTTCGTTAATGTCGCCGCTGACATACAGGCCGTCAAAGCACGATGCGTCCCAGAGCTTGATCTTGGGGTTCTCGAGCTCGCAGCTCGCCTTGAGGTCGGCGATGTCTTGGAAGATGACGTGGTCGGCCGTGAGCTCGCGCGCAATCTCGACTTCAGTGCGGTTGTGCGCAATGAGCTCGTCGCGCGTCGGCATGTCGATGCCGTAGACGTTCGGGTGGCGAATGCACGGCGCGGCCGACGCAAAGTAGACTTTCTTCGCGCCCGACTCGCGCGCGATCTGCACGATCTGACGCCCCGTGGTACCGCGCACGATCGAGTCGTCGACCAGCAGCACGACCTTGCCTTCAAACTCGCTACTCCATCATACGACATATGAGACAAAATGTCACGTAATGGAGAACGACATACCTCTTGATCGCGTTGAGCTTCATGCGCACCGTCTTCTTGCGCGCGACTTGGCCGGGCATGATGAACGTGCGGGCAATGTACCGGTTCTTCACAAAGCCCTCGCGGTACGGGATGTTGAGCCGGTGCGACATCTCGAGCGCCGACGTGCGCGACGTGTCGGGAATCGGAATGACCACGTCGATGCCGTGGTCCGGGTACTCACGCAGCACCTTCTCGGCGAGCTTGGAGCCCATGTTGCGCCGGGCTTGGTACACGGAGATGCCGTCAATGACCGAGTCCGGGCGCGCAAAGTACACGTGCTCGAAGATGCACGGCGAGAGCTTGGCGTTCGGGCAGCACACACGGCTCTCAAACTGGCCGCCATTCCCGATGAAGATGGCCTCGCCGGGCGCGACGTCGCGCTGCAGCGTGTAGTCGAGCGTGTCGATCGCGACCGACTCGGACGCGACCGCATAGTCGGTCCCGTGGTGGCTCTTGCGCGAGCCGTACACGAGCGGGCGGATGCCGTTGGGGTCGCGGAAGGCGAGGATGCCGTAGCCGTTGATGAGCGCGACGACCGCGTAGCCGCCGCGGCAGCGCGTGTAGAGGCGCGAGACCGCGTCAAAGATCTGACCGCTGGAAAGCGGGTGCGTCGACTTGAGGAGCTCGTCGGCGAGGATGTTGAGGAGCATCTCCGAGTCCTACGCCAGAACAGAGATCGATATAAAGAGACGGCGAGGAGTCGGCGTACCGAGTCGGTATTGACGTGGCGAAAGTTGGTGTTGGCGAGCTGGTCCACGAGCTCGTGCGAGTTGGTGAGGTTGCCGTTGTGTGCGAGCGCGATACCGTACGGCGAGTTGGTGTAGAAGGGCTGCGCCTCCGAGCTGCTGGACGAGCCTGCGGTCGGGTACCGGCAGTGGCCGATGCCCATGCAGCCCATGAGCGAGACCATGTGGTTCTGCTTGAAGACGTCGCGAACGAGGCCATTGTCCTTGCGCAGGTGGAGCTTGCCGTTGTGCGACGTCATGATGCCGGCGGCGTCTTGGCCGCGGTGCTGGAGCACCGTGAGGCCGTCGTACAAGCTCTGGTTGCAGTGCTCGTGCTTGTTGGCGAGGAGGACCGCGATGATACCACACATCTTTCTCTGCTTGCTTGCTGTCGACGGGCCGAATTTGCAACTCAAACTCAATCGTCGAAACCTCCAGGGACGTATTTAAATGCGATATTTTATTCGAGCTTGGATTTTATATACCAATCCAAAAAAATCGCCAAACGGTTATGCACCACGATCGACTTGACGTTTGTATGCCCATCAGCAGTGGTGCCCAATCACCCAGGCTGCGGATTTGCGTTGCTATGGAGGGGAACCTACGTGGCATTTTCCGCCACTCGATTTGGATGCATCATCAAAGATGTGCTCTGGCCAAAGCGTTCAGTAATCACGACGGCGCCACGTCATTGCGCTCTAAGATCCACTACGATCTATACTACCGTGCCGCCTGGACGCATGAATAGGCCGGGTGGTTGACGAGCAAGCGATGAGCACCCAACGGTGGTCTGCGATCCTGGGTCCGATTTTCAAACAGATGGCGACGACCCTTACGTGGAGCCGTCTCCGTGCAGAAGGTCGTCAAGTGTCCAATGCAATGTCTAGCAGAAGATATATGATCATGGATGTCTCCTGCCATGACCAGCCGAGAGTTGCAGTCGTCCTCTGCACTGCCCAGAGACACAAGAAATATAAAAAAGGGCAGATGCAGATGTTGGTAGTTGTCCATCAAAACCGCGCGGGAATGCGCCTACATGAGCGGGATGTTTTCGGCGGCAAACGTTGCGGTCCACGCTTGGAGGAGCTCGGGCGAAAGCGCTTCGTTTGCCAGATTCACCAGCTAGACAAAGAATGAGATCGGGAATGCAGAGAGGTAGAGAGAGGGCCGTGTACCCCGCCGGGCGTCGCGCGGCTGAGCTGGCTCATCGACTCGCACAGCATGCGCTTGTGGTTCGGGATAAAGTCGAGGTAGTCGATCGCGCCCGCAGCCGACGAAAAGTGCAAGCTCGAAAACCCCGCGTCGTACCCTACTCGCCGTCGTCTCCCATTATCCATCGCAACGTTGCGAGACGCACCGGTCTCTTCGAGGTCGAGCAAGATGTCGTCCTCCGTCTTGACAGCGATATGCGCCGACTTGTTCTCCTTCTCGAGCAGCAGTGCGGCCAGCGCCGGCAGAAGCGTGCGGATCGCATTCCCATCCTGCTTGAACGGCGAGTCGCAGATAAGGAGCGTGAGACCGACGACCGCAGGCTACACGTTGGCATCGTCACATATCGTCTCGACGCACCAACGCCGTACCTTCTTGTCGGCGCCGCTGACGCGCACAATGTGCTCGATCCAGATCGGAAGGAGCATGCCCATCATGCTAACACCACCCTTGACATGAGCACCGGCGAGGAGGAAGAAGAAAACGATCGATGTACCCCGTCTGGCAGCCTTCGACGGCATTGACGAGCCGCGTCGTGCCGTGCTTGGCCATAAAGATGCTCAGCGTCAGGAGCATCTCCTTGACGTACAACGTCCCGTTGCGGCCGTGGAGGCGCGTCTGGAGGCGCATCATGAGGATCTTGACGATCTCCACCAGCAGCGGCTCATACGACGCCCTACATCATATGGTATCAGCCACGGGTTATATCAAGGAGCACGTACAGCGGGAGGCAGACAAGGATCGGCTTGAGAAGGGCAAAGGCTTGCGTCTCGGTCGTGCGGTTGGACACGAGCTTCTGAAACACGCCGAGGATGCCTTGAATGTGCGACGCGACGGCCGTCGGGTACTTGCGCAGGTACGCTTCGAGGAGCTTGACGATCGCCGCGACCGTGCTCACGCGTTCCCAGAGCGCGGGCGAGAGAAGGACGGGGAAGAGGTTGTGGTACGCAGACGAGAGCGTCGGCGCGGTCGTCAGGTCGAGGAGCTGCGCGAGCACTTGGTAGACGTACGGGCAAAGCGCTTCGACGTCCGACATGAGCACTTGCTGGAACGGCGGGAAGAGGAGCTGCTCAAACGTCTCGACGAACGCGGGGTTGGCCTTGCACACGTTGTTGATGAGCATCGAGAGCGCCTCAAAGAGGCAGTGCGAGAATGCCGGGTTGCTCGGGTTGGCGCACACTTGGGAGAGAAGCAGCGTGAGCTGCTGGACGCACACATCCGCATACGGTACGACCGCCTCTTGCGCGACGACAAAGAGCCGCAGCACCATACGCATGAGGTAGTCGTTCTCGGGATACGACGGCGCGACGAGGATCGTAAACACTTGGTTGAGGAGCGGTGCGAGGAACGGTTGCAGCATGGCTTTGGTGAACCGACGCTCGTTGCCGTCCTTGACGGTCAGCATCTTCTCAATGCAGTAGGCCGCGTAGCTGTGGACGACAAACTGGTCGGGCAAGAGACAGCTCGAGAGGAGGGGGAAGAGCTGCTGCGTGAGGTGCGCCGGGAGCTGGTTGCGGAACGTAGCGACAAACTTGAGCGCGCCGGCGATCAAGAGCAGCGACGTCGGCGACGTGACGTCCGGCGACTGCAGCGTCGGGAGCACGTGGCCTTGGAAGATATCGAGCAGTGGCACGCTTGGGTGCACCTCCGAGACACCGCGCGTCCGCGTCTGCTTGACGGCCGCGAGGGCTGTCACGAGGTTGATGGCCACGTCCTTCTGCATCCATTTCGTCTGCGGCGACGCCGTGTACTCTTGCAGAAGCACCGTGATCGTCTGGAGGCAGATGCGCGTGACGGCGGCTTCAAACTTGGAGCGGAGGCCGCGGAGGAGCTCGGTCGCGGCGGACCGGCGCGTGTCGCCGTCCGAGCCTTCAATGTCCTTGCGGATGTACTCGAGCGGGTTGTCTTCAAAGAGCTCGACGTCCGACTCGCGCAGCTGGAGGTTCCGGACCACGATCGAGTTGCAGAGCTCGGAGAGGACGCTCTCGCTCTCAAAGAGGTGGTTGTTGATGCCCTGCAGCGCGACGGACCGGAGGAACTTCATGCTCTTCGCCGCCACGTCGTCGTGCTTGGGGAAGAGCGAGAGCTTCGTCGAGAGGTAGTGCCAAATGGTCTGCGTAAAGCTCGGGAGGTACGGCCCAAACTCCTCGTCGTACTTCTCCGCGTAGATCGTAATGTTGTCGAGGACGGCGCTGTGCAGCAGCGTGATGAGGTCGACCTCGACCTCTTCGGACGCGTCCGCGATCTTGGCATTCTCGTACTTGAGGAGGAACTCGAAGGCCTCCATCCAGCTCTTGATGTTGTCCTCAAAGTACTCGGGCAGGTCCTGCCAGTTGAGCGAGAAGAAGATGCGACTCATCGTGCGCAGCGCCGTGAGGATCGCACGCACGTCGTTGAGGTCCGACGTCTGCTGCAAGCGCGCCGTGAGCGAGCCAAAGAGCATGAGCAGCGGTGCCTACGTACAAGGTCATGAGCGACCATGATGAACGACGCGCGAGGATAAGGAGACCTGGAACTGCTCGAGGCAGTACTTGAGCTCGAGGAAGAGCGCGTCGCTCTTGAAGGCGTGGCGGAAGCGCTTGAAGATGGCGTTGGACGTCTCGAGGACGCCGTTGATGGCGCGGAAGTCGCTGCCCGGGTTGCCAAGCTTCTCAACGATCTGCGGCAGCAGCTGCGGCCACTGGTTGGGAAAGTCGTACTCGCCGATCGTGTAGAGCGCGGCTGAGAGCTGCTTCATGAGGCTCTCGGGCATCTCGCACATGAGGCCGACAATGTGTTCCTTGACGAGCGCTTTGCATTCGACGTGGATCGAGCCATCCTCGGGGTCCCAATCCTTCTTGATCGTGTTCTTGAAGGCGATCGCGGCCGAGAGACGGATGGCCTGCGGTACCTCGCTTGCCCGGAGCACGCTCAAGAGGAGGAGCGGCCCGTTCGGCTGCTTGAGCATCGCCTGGAGGCTGGCCTCGGCGGCCCGGCGAGGCTCGGCCAAGGGAGAGAGAGACTGCTCGAGCACGCCGACGAGGGCCGTGAGTTCCGCGGGCGAGCCCATGTTCATTGCCATCCTTCCGTCGACCTTGTCGCTCCTGCGGCCCGAAATGAAAATATCCTCTCAGAATCCCTACTATCGGTTCTCGCAGGGTTTTTTAGATGCGCCATACAATTCAGGCCAACTCCCTCCAAACAACGCTGCCACCTTCGCAACGACACTGACCACAGCCTGCGAGGCGACGAGCGGCAAATGCTATCGGTACATGAGTACCAAGGATTGATGGCCTATGCAGAGCAACCGCTACTACCGGGTCGGCGCAACACGCCTCGATGACCACAAGCTCAACGTCAACAGGTGGGTGCACTTGATTTTTGAAGAAAAATCAACTGGCAGGACGTTTCGTGCGGTGCTCCGATCTCCTCGAGGATCGCACCGGCAGAGCTCACCAGCAGCAGACAACAGCGCTGCTTGATTTGACCAAGGGACACTAAGCCATCAGCATCTTATTGCCCTTGATTCGACGTCGATGAGGGCTTGATGAGCTCGCAGTCGTCACCTGCATCGCCAAGAGACCAACTACCGGTACTGCCGGCTTGCTGCAGCGTCGGGCGTCTGTCGACTCGGGGGAATTGTTCCCTTGGTCCGACGCGTCGCATGAGATGGCTTGGTTGTTGGTCTTCGATTGGCGAACGTTTCTCGCCGGTCACGGTTGCAAGCAAGGAATATTCCCCTGGTGCGCGCAGAGCCTGCCACGTAGTACCCGTCGCGTGATTCGAGAAAGTTCGACGCCCTCTCGCCCTCTCGCCTCACTCTGCAATCGGACGCGCCGCCGCGCCAGGTCCCCACGAGCTCGACGGCGCCCACCGACAGCTTGGCCACGCCTGCGTCCTCATCATCATCTGCGCACACGACCCTCTTCCCCACGAAACACATATCTGCCTTGGTAGATATTCCTGCAGCCGTGCGTCCGTCGTCTTGCTAGAACGCCCGTTTGCACGAGTATGTAGCACCGCGTACCGTGTTTAAAGAGCCACAAGCACCACCCACTGTACTGCGTTAATACTGTTCCGACGCAAGGAGCCACTCGACGTCGGCGACGACATGGAGATAGATGGCACGCAGCCAACCTGCAGTCTGCGGGAGGACCATCAAGACGTGTGGGAAAGGTCATGCAAGATAAATAGACAAAGCCGTGGCTATTGCCGGCAGACGGGGCAATTGAGCCGCGTGGAGTACCACACGCAGATGCAGGCTTCGTGGAAGACGTGGCCGCAGCGCAGCGCGACGTGCGAGCCGTCGCCGGCGCAGAGGCAGATGCAGCAGTCGTCCTCGACGCCGTGCACCAATGACATTTGGCGCATGAGCTGGCTCGCGCGCAACTCGAGCGGGTACTCGATCGCGCAAAAGTCGTTGGTCGCATGCAGGAGGTCGCGGTGCACGTCGCAGGTCGCGACTTGGTTGGCTGTCGCCGCCATCGCGACGAACACCAAGCTCAAGAGCTTGGCAATCACGGGCGCCTTCTCGGCAAAGATCGCGCAGAGCACGATCCGGCGCGTCTCGGCGCGCAGCTGCTGGAGGCGCGCGCACTTGGCGTTCTTGGCGAGGCTGCGCACGCGCTTGAGGTACCGCCGCACGTCGCGGTAGGTGCACTGGACCTTCCAACTTAAGTCGCTGGTCCGGTACTCGAGCACGACCTCGTACTGCGTCGCCGTCCATGGAAGAAACACATCGTCGTCGTCGTCGTCGAGCGGGATGACGTGCACGTCGAGGTCGCGGAGGCTCGTCGCGCGGCGAATGTCGGCGCGCCGATGCACAATCTCCGCAGCGACGCAGAGCTCTTTGCCTCGTGCCATCGTCTTGTCCAGTGCGTTACCGCAGCCACGGCTGGAGCGACCATCGAATTCGAACAAGCTGCAGTCCCTTCTTCTTCTTCTTCTTCTTCTTCTTCTTGCGCGATGACCCTGCACGAGAGAGAGAGGTCCTGGGCTTGAGAAGCAGCGCATGGCAGACGGCCCTTTGATCGATATGTACGACGAGCTCACCTACTATGGTCGTTCTGTGCTTTTGGAGACGTCCTCACTGCCGGTACTGTGGTGGCTCTGGTGAGAGTGCAGAGCTGGCAAGAGATTGGCAACCTCGACGCATCGGCTGCAGCGTGTCGAGGGCTGGTCCACTACGTACACGGCCGTTTGAACCGTTTACACATGGACGACGGTGTGTCGAGACATGATGGTGGTCGAGATGCGCTCTTCATCGATCACATTACATGCACCCTACTACTACGTGTCGTCGTCGTCGTCTACCTGTACTAATACTCCACTACTTTAGCTGTCGTCTCGTGCGTCGTCTGTACACTGGAACCTGGTCCGTCTTACGCGTCGTCGTCCTTCTTCTTGCCCTTCTTCCGCTTCTTCTTGGCCTTCTTGCCGTTCTCGCTGACGCCGTCCACGTCTTCGTCATTGTCGTCCGTGACATTCGGCTCGCTGCTTTGCTTGCGGCTGCGGCTCTTGGGCGAATGGAGATGTGTCGGGACCGCGTCCTCGTCCGTCATGACCTCATCTTCCTCGTCGCCTTCGTGGCCCATGCTCGTCTTCTTCTTGGCCTTCTTGTTCTTCTTCTTCTTCTTCTTCTCGCCGTCGACGAGCTCGACGGGCCACGCGACGTCGTCAATGAAGCCGAGGCTCTTGGCGTAGTCCGAGCCAAGGTCGATGCCGGGCACCGACTCGGGCGGGTCCGGGAGGCTGCTGTAGCCGCCGTACCCGCCATAGCGCGACATGGTCGTCGGCACGGTGATGCCGAGGCCCTTGACCACCATCGCCGACGTGATCGCCCGCAGCTGCGGCTCAAACTCGTGCCACATCGCATGCGACATGAGGAACGAGCGCAGGTACGCGTCCGGCGCGACGCCCGAGGCGTGGAGGCGGAGGAGGTTGCAGCAGTGGAGCACGTAGCCGCGGCCAGCCGCGTCGCCCGACTCGTACGCCTTGAGCAGCGTCGTGACCAATTTGAGTTTCTGGAGCAGAGGCTTGAGAATGGCCTCGTCGTTCGTGCGCAGCGCCGCGAGCAAGAGGCGCGCGAACGTGCCCGCGTACAAGTTGTTGTGCGGGAAGTGCGTGAACCAGTAGATGAGCGCTTGCCACGCTTCGGTCGTAAACTGTTCGAGCAAACTCGGGTCATTCTTAACAAGCTCGTCGACCATCAGGACAAGGTCGAGGCGGAATCCCGTGAAAGGGTAGGCGACGCTGTACCCCGTGTGCTGCACGCAGAGCGTGCTTGGAGACGTCATCTTAAGCTGCGCACGGTGCGTCTCGACCATGTAGGCCAGGTACTTGGTGATGCCGACGCTGCCAACATGCGCGAAAATGCGGGGGCGCAGCGACAGCAGCTGGTTCGGCACGAGGTTGACGACCGTCGCGCCAAACGAGTGGTACGGTGACGTTGGCGGCCCCGGCACTTGCTCGAGCGAGCTCTTGTGCAAGAGTCCGAGGAGACAGCGCAGTGCCGCCTGTCGCCGACCGCTGGGCGCCGAGAGGTACGCGAGCGGATCCGCACTGTTGGGCACGTGCAGAAACGTCTTGATGAGGTCGTTGAGAAGCTGCGTCGAGTGCCCGAGCGGCTGCAAGAGAAGCTCGCCGTTGTCGTCGGCCGCGAGCCGATCAATGAGCTCGAGGAAGACGTCGGCGGCTGCCATCGCGTGTGCTTCACTGTACTCGGGCTTGCAAATGTGCTCGCCGAGCGTCACGAGGATGTTCATGTCCGAGAGGCCGCGGAAGAAGCGCCATTTCGCATCCGGCGAGCTCTTGTACATGCGGAGGAAGGCCGCGTTGTGCGGCTTGCAGATCATCGCGAGAAAGACATCGGCGACCGGGGCTTCCTCAAGGTGCAGCAGCATCGCGTTGATATACCGCTCGACGCCACCGCTTGCAATCGTCTTGTACACGTCGTCGAGGTGGTACCGCAAGAGGCGGTCGAGCAGCCGGCAGCCGTGGCGAAAGTTGCCGCGCGAGTTGGTCTGGAAGAGGCCAAAGAGGCAGCGCACGATAAGCGGCGTCTTGTTCTGGAGAAAGTTCATGATCGGCTCCGAGTTTTCGTCGTCCGTGAGCATCATCGTCACGTGGTAGCTCTTCAAGAGCTCGTCCGACACGTCGTCCACGTCGCGCGCTTCAATGTGGTCGCGGTGGTGGGCGCGCAGCTTGCGCGGGCCATCGCGAAGGAACGTCGTCTGGTCCTCGTCGACCTCGGGCACGACGCGCGTGATGAACGAGATGAACGCAGCGCAGACCTCGTCGTGCGTGAGGTACTGCAGCATCTTGACGGTCAGCGTCGGCGTCTCGAGGCTGAGCATGCGATGGAGGATCTCGAGCTGGTCCTTGTACAGGAGCTTGGGCGACAAGGCCGCGCCATGGGCATCGGTCGCCGGCGGGATCTCGACGGCGAGCGCGGCCATCGCCTGGTTCAGTTGACTCATGGTCTCTGGACGGAGTCGCTCAAAATGAAAGATCCCACGTGTGACCAATGCTCCAGCGTATTTTAATGCTACTTGTTTATCGTGACTTGCGATTCGTATGCAACCACGTGTCTTTTAAATCCCAGGGCGTTCCACCATCTTTTAATATTTCGCCTGCGACACTTGGAATGTGTATGTCGAATTTTTAGACGCTTTTTAATACGCCATCCGAGAACGGTCGGGCGCATGTAACCCCTCCATCACCTTAGCGCCACGTTCCTGTGGAAGCGGCGACCTGCGCCGGCGACGGTCGCTCCATGCACCGTCGCCATGAGCCGCGCTCATGATGGGCGACGAGCTTCACCCGAGGACGAGTAGCATGGCCTCGCCATGGCCGTTGTGGCCACGCGATATGCCGGTGGCGGCGCCGAGACACTGCAGCAGCTGGCAACGTTCCATCGACTTGTAGCCACCGCTTCGCCGCGTCGTCGTCGACTCGACGTGGCATGGTCAATGCGCCATCCCGTCTCCTGCTCGGCGTCGGAGCATGTAGCCGTCGGGAGCGGTCCCGTGGCCATGGCACCAAGGCGATGATGGCATGGAGCGCGACGCCACGTTCGTTTCGGATATGTCCGATTTGTAGCCTCACGGGTCCGAATTGGATGAGGGCCGCGCGCGGATTGGCTAGAATGTAAAACAATTTTGTGATTGGCGCAAATCGCGTGAAATTGGTTGGCGGCGAATTACTGGTCCGTGAGATTGCATTAGATTCAGCCATTCTTCATTTTTCCATCTCAAAAATGCCCAGCAAGAAGGTCCTGAAGGGTGCTAGCACCACGCAGAAGCCCGCCGCCGCCAAGCCGGCTGCCAAGTCGACGGCGTCGAAGAAGAAGGGCGCTGACCCGCTCTTCCCGTCGGCCCCCAAGAACTTCCGTCTTGGTGGTGACATCCAGGTATGCTAAGTAGACACAACGATGCCATCATGGCTCGGCTGTCGTCGAACACAACACAAGGTCCCAGCGTCGCTGCCGAGGGGTTTCGCCAGCAATGGCGTGGCCTCGCCGGTGGCGGCAATGGGTACCGTAGCGGGTCCCACATACCGCAATGATATAAATGACTTGTGGTGGCCTCATCCTTCCTAAGTGATTGAGTCACCCAAGGTACCCTATATCTGCCGTTGTCGTCGTGACGATCGAGCCGGCACACGCAGCAGACGAGCTCATGCGCCTTTTCTCCGTAGCCCAAGCGCGACTTGTCCCGCTTCGTCCGCTGGCCCAAGAACGTGCGCCTCCAGCGCCAGCACAAGATCTTGACCACGCGCCTCAAGGTCCCCCCGAGCATCAACCAGTTCACGAACACGCTCGACAAGAACGCCGCCACGGACCTCTACAAGCTCCTCCTCAAGTACCAGCCGGAGACCAAGGCCGCCAAGACCCAGCGTCTTCGCGACATCGCCGCCGGCAAGGAGCAGGTCTCGGCCCCCCCGGCCGTGATCAAGTACGGTCTTAACCACGTCACGTCGTTGATCGAGAACAAGAAGGCCAAGATGGTCTGCATCGCCCACGATGTCACGCCCATCGAGCTCGTCGTGTTCCTCCCGGCCCTCTGCCGCAAGATGGACATCCCGTACTGCATCGTCAAGGGCAAGGCTCGCCTCGGTCAGCTCGTCCACAAGAAGAACGCCGCCGTCGTCGCCCTCACGCAGGTGAACAAGGAAGACAAGGCCAAGTTCGACTCGCTCAACACGGCGTTCCGCGCCCAGTTCAACGACGAATCGACGCACCGCCGCAAGTGGGGCGTGGCATCATGGGCCTCAAGACGCAGAAGAAGCTCGAGCTCCGCGCCAAGGCCGTCGCCGCCGAACTCGCCAAGAAGGCCCAGTACTAAGTTCTTAGTTACTGATCATCACTGGAGAGATGGAAAATAAGCTAGCGCCAACCTTGTAATGAAGAAAGCATCTTTGGCCTTGAATCTCTCGCAGCCTGCATCGCAGTGTCCCATCGATACGAATGCCATCGTTCTCGACAATAGAGTCCATCATAGTGAAGGAGGAGAGACGTTAGCAGACGGTCAAGCCAACGAGTCTCCGCAACAGCGTCCTCAAGGCGAGACATCCCGGAAGTCCCTTGACGTGTTTCAATGGGTGGCGATGCATCACCCGCATCGCTCGCCAGCACCGTAGACAGCATGCACGAACGATGGAAATCTTGAGAGAATAAACTAGACGAGCGTGTACTGGCCGTAGAGGATGTCGCGGATGCGGTAGTAGCTGGCGCTGAGCGTGCCTTCGACCATGATCTCGTTGTTGCGCGCGCGCTTGAGCACGACGCCGTCGTCGCAGACGAGCATACCGCCGGAAAAGTTGGCCTTGAAGCCCGCCTTGGCGAGCAGCTGCTTCATCGAGTCGAGCGTGATCTTGCCTTGCGAGAGGCGCATTGGCTCGTGCGGCGCGTCAAAGTCAGCCTTGTCGAGGACGCACGTCGTGCCTTGGAACTCGAGGTGCCCGTGGATGTACGCCACGTCGTGAACGCCCACCTAGAATGTTTCTGTGTCGCTGCCGTCGCCAGCCTCGTCGCCATACCTTTTGAAAGTGGGCCGATGTGTAGAGCGCTTCTTTGAGCGAGACCTTGCAGACCGTCGTGTCCGACTCAATGTCGACGCACTCGTTGGGCTGCGGGCAAAAGACGGCTTCGCACGCGTCAATCGAGCTGTCGACGTACGTCTTGAGCTCGTCCGACGTCTCGGGCGTGCCGTGCACCAAGATGAGCTTGCGCGGCTTGACCTTATCGAGGCAGTTCTTGATCGCGCGTCCGTCCGCAAGCCCATCAAAGTCAACAAAGCTCACGGCCGCGTGCACCTCGACAATAGAACTCGAAAAGACCGTCTTCATCGGGCGGTTCTCGCCACCGTTCTCAGCGTCGTCGTCGTCGTTGCCCATGTTGACGTCCGCCGTCGCGCCGTCTTCGGCCGAGCTCGTCGCCTTGCGCTTCCGGCTCTTGGCCGTTTGGGTCAAGTCCTTGAACGCCTCGGGCTGGATCGCCTATGGAAGAATGACGTCGATCGGACACCAAACGATTTCCAAAAGAGACAGCACCTCGCCGTACTCGTCCCACTCGGACTTGGTCTCGATCGCAAAGAACATGGGGTACCGGGCGGTCGCAAACTGGCCAAAGCCGACCTTGAACGACCCGCGCATTTGCGCCGAGGCTACAGAACCCATGAGTGCGTTGTCAGAAGTCGACACGCTACGCTTCTCAATCGGTGCGACGGATGGCAGCTTGTCCGCGTCGTCGTCGTCCTCGGACTCGTACTCGGCGATGCCCATCATCATGTCTTCCATCGCGGCTTCTTCAATCTCCTTGGCCTTGAGCTCGGCCTCGTTCTGGATGCGCCGACGCTCCTTGGCTTCGTGGGCCGCGAGCTCGGCGCCCTCGAGCGGCACGTTGCGCGACTGCTTGACGACAACCGACGCGTTCGGCTGCACTTGGGCTGCGAGCGACGACGCGGGCGGCGTGGTCACAAACAGAATCCGGTTGTTCGGGTGCGGCGCCATTTGCACGAACAAGTCTTTTGCAAATCCTTGCGTCATGGACGGCGACGTGGCCAGAATGACCTTGGGGCTCGGCAGCTTGTCGAGCTCTTCGAGGCTGTGGATGACGTTGACGTGTCTACGAGCTGTGCGTGGAGCGAGGTGGGTATCGAGACGAGGTAGTACGTGAACTGGAACGGTTGGGCTTGCCAATGTCAAAGTTCTTGGAGATGCGCTCGCTGCACCACTCGAGCATGGCCTGGGCCGCCTTGGGCGCATAGTAGCTCATCGTGTGGAGGAGCGCGATCGGGTACTTGAGCCTACGCAATCGAATATGTCGGAGATGGAAATGGGCATAAAGACAGACTTGAGCTTGATCCAGTACTGGTCGAGGACGTGGAGCACCTCGAGGACGCGCCCGGCGCTGTCGCACGGGATGAGCACGTCGCCGCCGCGTCGGAGGGTGTTGACCACGTCGTCTTTCAAGCGCTCGTCGCGGTCCTTCATTTTCGGCTGCTCTTTGTGGAGGTGCATCGAGTCTGTAATGAGGAGCGTCGGCCGCCTACGCCATGCTTCATGAGATGCGAGGTGGCGTCCATGCATACGAAATCGATTCGAGGAACGTCTTGCTCAAGACGTGGTCGGCGCGGTGGTTGTAGTCGACGGCGTAGATGATTTCGTCCTAGGACAGCTACGTGGGCGTGCAAGAGGCAACGACAAAATGTACCGTCTCCTTGACGATGCTCCAGATGGACCCGCCGATGAGATGTCCTGCCGCGTGCGGTGTGATGTAGATGCCTTCGCCTTGTCCCGACAGCCGCAGCTTCTGCGAGTACTTGAGCTGGATAAACGTCTCGAGGACATGGTCCACGTCGTCGAGCGAGAAGAGGTTGAAGGCCAGGTCGTCCTTAGTGCGCGCCTGGAAGGCTTCGTAGAGCACGATTTCGCCCATGCGGTACACGGGCAGCGTCGCGTACACCGGCGCCTTGAGGCCAAGCGTGCCCATGGCGTAGGGCAGCGCGCCCATGTGGGCGAGGTCCGGGTGCGAGATCAAGACCAAGTCGATCTTGTCGATCACGCGCGCCAATGGCTCCAGGAGGCCGACGTCAAAGTCATCGGTCCAGCCGCAGTCGAGGAGGATGCAGATGTCGTCGACCTCGAGGAGGTAGCAGCAGCTCGGCTCCGCGGACTGGACCCCGTACAAGGGCGTGAACGTGATCACGACCATCGTCCTGTTTGCCACAGAAACCCACGACCCGTCATACGTTTCTCCTAAGCGACATCGGGCGTCCGGATAATCATGTCGTATCCGGACACTGCTGCTCTGGCAGCGCCAAAATTCCAATGGTCATCCTGCCATTCCTCGAGCTCTCTCTAGCCTTGCAGTAGACGCGTAGACGCCTCGGTACTGTAGCCCCAAATGGCTCCTAACTTCGGTGATGCTACCCTATATGCTGGCGGCTACCATTCGCACGGACTGGGCTGCAGCTCAAAAGCGTTATCAAGTTCGCGAGTTAGCAAGCCGTTGGAACGTTGTCCCGCGAATGGTGTGAACGCAAGAGGATGGAATTACGCAGACGAAAGCGTGACGTGGGGGTACTTGCTCTGGATGTTCTCGGCGCACGCGTTCACGTTGAGGCAGATCGCGTTGATGCGATCGTCCCAGCCCTGGAGCACGTCGCCGTCTACGCGATCGATCCATCATCAACCGCTGGGGGTGTCATGTTGACGTACCTTGCTCAAACTCGAGGAGGCCGTTGACCTGGTCGATCGAGCCCTTCATGCGGTCTTCGCTGATCATGATGGCCGCCACCTACCGCCCGGTATCGCCACCATGGGGCCATATATATGGACGTAATACCTTCTCTGCCTTTTTCGCGTCGACACCGAGGAGCGTGCCGAGCTCGTCAAAGTACATGCTCGTGTAAATGCGCGAGACTGCGAGCATATTGTGCTCCAAGAATGCTTGCTCGACGACCGTAAACCCGTTGGCGAGCTTGGCCTTTTGGTGCGGCAGCAAGCCTTCTTCAAAGGCCGCGATGTCCGACCGGCGCAGACGCTGCTCCAAGTAGAGCTTCTCGAGAATACCCGCGTGTTCCATCGACTTGATGCGCTCGTCCTGCACAGCCAATGAACCTTACAAGCAGTGTGTCGGTAATACCTTGTACAGCGTGGCGAGGAGGCGCGAGCGCTGGGGGCCCGCGGCCGCGAGGATCGCGCACGTCGTCGCTTTCCCGAGCAGCTGGAGGAGGTCGTCCGGATCAACTTCCTACCATCCAAGTGTGCAGAGGACAGAGAGAGGAAGAGTCGTCGTACGTCGGGCTTGGACTGGGAAAACTCATAGTAGCGAAGGGCGGCGTCGAGGAACTTTCGCTTCGAGTCGAGAATGCGCGCGTAGGACACTTGGTAGCGGATCTTGAGCGCCCAGTTGGAGGGGTCGACGGCGTGGATGACGCGGGAGGCGCGGTTGATGAAGTTTTCGGCGTCGACCGTCTCGTCTTCCTGGAGGTAGAGCTCGGCGATCTTGACGTACTTTTCCGCCTTCTCGTCGTCCGAGTACTGCCGCGCCGAGCTCTCCAGGTTGATGGCCGCAAGAGTCTTGGCTGCCTCAATGTACTCTTCCTCCTCCATAAAGAGGTCGCAGAGCTGCTCGCGAAGGACCACGTCCGTCTCCTCAAACGAGAGGATCCGCGGCTTGATGTGCTGCAGCGCGAAAATGAGCAGGTCCTTCTTCCACGCGTGGATTTCAATGTTGATGCGTCCGACTGCTTGGGCAAATTGGCTCAGCACCTACATAGGCATAGGGTGACGACGTGGCGGCGACGAACGCAGGCGCACCGTCCGCGCGACCACGAGCTGGACGTCGTCGGTCAAGACTAGAGGCGCCATCATGACATGATCTCATAGCATATGGTACCATGCTCCAGGAGCGACTTGAGCGCGGCCTCGTTCAAAGCCGACGCATCGATGTAGTCCTGCCATGCATCGTCGTCATGGCCTTGGATACCTTGCATGCAGGAGGAGGTACCTTGTACGCGCCCAGCTTCTCCTTCTGGTCCGCGATCTTGGCGATCTACCTCGCGCGGCCATGGTCATCTTCGTCCGCAGAGGCATGCATCTACCTGGGTCAACTGCGCGATGGAGCTCATGCTGCAAGGACGGTCGGCGGGGCGATGTCTCTCCTCACAAATTGCGTCAGCAAATGTCCGGATACGACACACTATCCGGAAATGCACCTTTTTACTCATGACAGCCAAGGAGCAATCAGCAACCCACGAAGCACCGTCGCCCTCGTGTGCCCCAACGCTCGTCGATGCTCGTTGCGTAGCTCGACGTTATATTGCATTGCTTTGTGTTATAACGCGTTCCAGAGAGCAGCCGCGCGTCGCAACGCATGCCATAACGTCAAGTCCCGACAGCAGATCCGACGAGAGCGGCCGTCGGAGCAGTAGGAATTGCAGCCCGCCGACTCATTTTCAAACGGCCTTGACTTTGCTAAGACCAAGGACATACTATGCTTTCTACCCTTGCGAAAACGCACCGGTCTCTTCCTCCGGGTGTCTCTGGGATGAACGGCGTCGAGAACCGAAGGTCAATTGAGTAGTACGCTGGACGCTCAAGATCCGACGTGTCTCTCGACTCGAAGCGCAAGCTCCTCGACGCTACTATGAGTGTTCCCGACGTACGACGACTCTTCCTCTCTCTGTCCTCTGCACACTTGGATGGTAGGAAGTTGATCCGGACGACCTCCTCCAGCTGCTCGGGAAAGCGACGACGTGCGCGATCCTCGCGGCCACGGGCCCCCAGCGCTCGCGCCTCCTCGCCACGCTGTACAAGGTATTACGACACACTGCTTGTATGCTTCATAGGGTGTGCAGGACGAGCGCATCAAGTCGATGGAACACGCGGGTATTCTCGAGAAGCTCTACTTGGAGCGCCGGTCGGACATTGCGGCCTTTGAAGAAGGCTTGCTGCCGCACCAAAAGTAGACAAGGCGACCACCCGTGACGAGCGTTGCGTGTTAATCACACGCGGCGCCGGCATGGCCGAGTCGGTCGCAACCGATGCTCGACGATGCGATGTACCCACAGCGCACTCGTTGCTCTATCGCAAGAGGTCGTCGTTCGATACCTTCTGCGTCTTTAGAGATTGGTTCTCTCTTGCTAGCGCTCCGCCAGTACTGATTGCGCTTTCTGTTTCTTGCGACTCACGACTGTAGCTGGTTCAGGACCAAGGCAAGTGGCGCCAACTTCAGCCCCGATGATCCAACCCACTTTTTTCAATCGACATCGAGTGATATTGACAAGGGTGCCGGGTACTCCAGCACCATCAAGCTGCACGCCTACTAGTAGGCAATCCGATGGCGCATGTGCTGCCGTTGTCCGGGTTGTCGCTCCGGCAACGTGGCGCCGGTGTGTAACCCCGTTCCAGCTTGAACCAACCAAGTGTATGCGATTGCAAGGGTTTTACAATATCGAGTGTGGCAGGTCCGGCCATTCGAACGCATTATAATGCGTCGTGGGCGTTAAAATCATTTAAATTACGACACGTTGGTATAAAATCGGGTGTATTTCTATCGGGTTTGGAATGGCCGCGTTTAAATCGCGGCGCGGCAGATATAGCTAAGGCGCCGGAACCAACGAAAAATCCAACGCTGCTGGTCTCCTCGCGTCTCCAAGATCATTTTCACATTCACGATGGCCAAGAAGACCGATACCAAGACGACCAAGCGCACGGGCGACGACGCCGCCAAGAAGGTGGCCAAGAAGCAGAAGGTCGAGTCGTCCGAGTCGGGCTCGGACTCGGAGGAAGAGGCTGAGGAAGAGGCCGAGGAAGAGGTCGCTGCCGAGGAAGAGGAGCAGGTCGAGGAAGAGGAAGCCGAGGAAGCCGACGAGGCCGGCGACGAGAACATCGAGTGCAAGGACTGCGGCAACACGTTCGTCTTCACGGCCGGCGAGAAGGCCTTCTACCTCGAGAAGGGCTTTGACAACAAGCCGGTCCGCTGCAAGGACTGCAAGAACGCCAAGAAGGAGCGCATGAACGGCGGTGCCGCTGGTGGCCGTGGCGGTCGCGGCGCTGGCCGTGGCTTCGGCGGCCGTGGTGGCCGTGATGGCGGCCGTGGCCGTGGTGGCCGTGGCGCTGGCCGTGACGGTGCTGGCCGTGGCGGTGGCGGTGTGTGCTACGCCTTCCAGAAGGGCGAGTGCAACCGCGGCGCTGGCTGCCGGTTCAGCCACTCGGGTTAAAACACCTCGACGACCTGTATATCAGTGCTATTATTATAATACTACTAGGAAATAAGAACACCTCATGCATCATCATTCATCATCTTCTTACTCTTGTTTCATGGGCGATGGTCCATGCGTGTCAACGTCCTCCGATCGGCGACACTCGAAGATCGCATTCCAGTCACACAATCGGAGTCCGTCCTGCCTTGGTGGTATACGAGACCCGTTGATTTTGAACCAATTTCGCTCGATCACGAGAAGAGCCAATCGTCATTGCATGCGTCCAATGGACAAGTTGGCAGCATCACTATGCTGCGCCAAGTACCAGGTAGGCGAAAGAAGTGTCTCGATAAGTAGTGAAGTCAACCAACGCCTCGACCATCCATCACGCCTAAACGCCAGCTCGTCTCGACGACTTGTCGAGATTCAACGCGCTTCCTCCGTCGTGGTCGAGCCCATTTTCACACCGAGCACCAATCCAATCCAGTGGGCTGTGGTGAACCACCAATGCAGCAAAGGGAATAGCCTCGTGTCGGGGTACGTAGCATGGTTGACCGCAACAAACTGGCGCAGCGGCGATGCGCATCCATCACGTCGTGGGAAGGAAGGCTTCAAACAGACCAACGTCGCCACTCACAACTCCGATTCGTTGTCGTTGGGATGCGGTCTAGCTCATTTCAAGTGGAGATCATACAGAAGAACTCAGTGGCGCTGCGTGACGCACTCGCGTCGCCGTACCCCGTGCGCGAAAGGCCAACTCCCGCCATAGTTGCGTTGGTTTATCCAGAAAGCCAACCAATGGCTGTCGAGATCGCCATTTTTGACACGCTACGAAATTCGGCTGAAACCGATTTTAAAGTGTCCATTTAGGATAAAGCCCAATCCCACGACTGGACTGCAACCCAATTCAGTTTGCAAACAAATGGACGCAGTGGACGACCCGATGGGCGCTGCGGCGCCCGAGGTGACCGCGAACGCGACGACGCAGCCAGCGGCCGACGCATCGGAGCCGACGGAGGCCGCGCCCGTGGAGGCGCCGCTCCCGTTTCCGCAGGAGCACCTCGATACGTGCTTGGAGGTACTGCCATGGTCGTGCCACGACGATGCATCATGCGTTTGTTTGTGTAGGTCTTGTCGGTCTTGGCCAAAGACCTCGAGGTCATCGAGCAGCCGGCGATGCGCAACTTCCGCAAGACGATCGCGCCCGTCTCGGACTACATGGAGAGCCGCAAGTTCAAGGGCAAGGGGCGCAAGAAGTACCTCGAGGACAAGGAGCTGCGTCGCGAGAAGGAGGCGCGCCAGGTGAAGCGCAAGATGAACGACAACAAGTACATCAACAGCGCGACGCTGCGTCGTGCGCGTGTCGAGAAGCTCCAGAGTCTCCTCGAGCAAGGCAAGGACGAAGCCATGCTGCCGATGATCGCCGACGGCGCGGTCGAGGAGGCCCCCGCGCTTCTCGAGAACGGGCCCAAGGCGCCGATCGCGGAGCTCGAGAAGCAGCGCTCGTGCTACACGTGCAAGGTCCGCTACGAACAGCTGCATCACTTTTACGACCAGCTCTGCCCCAGTACGACGTCGTCCCTTTTGCATTCCTACAACCCATATACTTTCGTTTGCGTAGCATGCGCGGAGCTCAACTTCACCAAGCGCATGCAGTCGGCCGACCTGCGTGGTCGCGTTGCGCTCGTCACGGGCGCGCGCGTCAAGATCGGGTACCAAGCCGCGCTCAAGCTCCTCCTCTCGGGCGCGACGGTCATTGCAACGAGCCGCTTCCCGCACGACACGGCCGAGCGGTACGCAGCGCACCCGGAGTTTGCCACGTTCCAGGACCGCTTGCATGTGTACGGCATTGACTTTCGGGACATGGTGCACCTCGAGCAGTTCCTCGACTACGTCCAGACCAAGTACACCCGCCTCGACATGCTCGTCCACAACGCGTGCCAGACGATCCGCCGCCCGCCGTCGTACTACAGCCACATGATGCCGAAGGAGACGACGCCGCTTGCGTCCTTGCCGCCGAGCGTGCAGCCGATCTTGAAGCAGCAAAGCGACTTCCACGCCGAGCTCATCCGGACCGCGGCGCCAGGGTCGCTCCTCACGGCCGACGGCGGCGGTGCCGTCCCGCCCGTGCTCGCCAACCTGAGCGCGGTCAAGACGCAAATCCCGATGCTTCTGGAAGACAGCGCCAGCAGCGAGCACTTTCCAGTCGGCATGAAGGACGTGAACGGCCAGCAGCTCGACTTGCGCACGACCAACTCGTGGGTGCTCAAGATGGGCCAGGTCTCGACGCCCGAGGTCGCCGAGGTCTTTGCCATCAACACGCTCGCGCCGTTCATCATGAACAGCCGCCTCCGCGCGCTCATGGAGGCGACGCCTGCCAAAGACAAGTACATCATCAACGTCTCGGCCATGGAGGGCAAGTTTTACCGCTACAAGACGCCCAACCACCCGCACACCAACATGGCCAAGGCGGCGCTCAACATGATGACGCGCACGTGCGCCGAGGAGCTCAGCAAGCACGGCATCTACATGAACTCGGTCGACACGGGGTACTCTCTCTTTCGTGTGTCGTCATACGTCTTCTAACGTGGTCGACTAGCTGGATCAACGACGAAAACCCGCTCGAGAAGGCGCACAAGTACGCGCAAACGGCCAACTTTCAGACGCCGATCGACGAAGTGGATGCAGGTGCGGACCATCGCTGTCGTGTTGCAATCTCATGTGTCGTATATGGTAGCGGCGCGCGTGCTAGACCCGATCTTCATCGGCGTCAACGAGCACAAGTACCCGTACGGGCTCTTCTTCAAGGACTACAGCGAGACCGAGTGGTAACCGCATTGCACTCGACAACATAGAGTCTGCACAGTCTCGTATCGTCATTTCCGAGTCGTTTTCTCTACACCATAGCTCATTGCAGCACGAGGTCGATCACGTCCTTGCGCTTCAGCGCACGTGGCGCGCCTCTGTCCGTGATGCGGTCCCGCAAGACGGCCGTCATCATCGCGCGCTTCTCGGTTTGCATGGCAAAGATCTTTTCTTCGATCGTGTCCTACGACCAGTGCCATCGTCTCGCTTCGAGAGAGAATCTCTACCTTCATGATGTACCGCGTCACAATGACGCGGTGCGTTTGGCCAATGCGGTGCGCGCGGTCAATGGCTTGGCTCTCGAGGCTCGGGTTCCAGCACGGCTCCATGACAAAGACACGGCGCGTCGCTGTAAGGTTGAGCCCCAGCGCACCGCTCTTGAGCGAGAGGAAGAGCACATTGAGGTGCCCGCCTTGGTACGCCTCGACAACCTGCGCGCGCTCCTATGGGTCGTTCTTGTGAGCCATACAGCAGTGTCGCCAGGTGGACCCGGGGTGCCATGCGACCGTCAAGCTGCGCGACCGAGATCTCGGGGTTGATCGCATGCAGTTGCTCGCGGAGCAGATCCAAGTACGACCGCCACTCGGAGACGACGAGGCACGGCTCGTGCGCGGCCGTCGCAGCGCGCAGCGCGTCAAAGAGCGTTTGCATCTTGGTCGAGAGCGGGACGCGCGGCATGTGGCGGCGCGAGCCGTCTTCGTTGATGAGCGGCATCGTGAGCAGCGACGGCGAGTCGCACACTTGACGCAATCGCAGAAGCAACTCGAAGACGTGGAGGCCCGTGGCTTTCGTGAGGGTTTCTTGGACTTCTCGCCGCGTAATGTGGTGCACTTGGCGGTACCAGAGCCGCTCGGCGTCGGTCGCAAACGTCAAAAGGACGCGCTCGTCGACTTTTTCCGGTAAATTCGCGTTCGCGGCCGACTTGAGCCGCCGGAGGAGGTACAAGTCGACAAGCGACGCCAAGTGCGTCTCGTCGCCGATGCGCGGGATGCCAATAAACTTGAAGAGCGGGTGGAGGTCCTCGCATCGGTTCTGGATCGGCGTGCCTGTGACGCACCACCGCGCCCGCGCATGCAGCTGAAACGAAGCTTGGGTCCTACATATCCATGTAGCGAGCGGTGGGGACGTCTATGTACCGGGCAGCGGTCATGTTGGCAATCAAGTGGGCTTCGTCGAGGATGACGCGGTCCCAGTGCACACGGTGGAGCTTCGAGAGAAGGACCTTCTCCTCGCGCAGCCGCTTGGTCGCGATCCATGACGTGTCCTTGCGCGGCGCGGTGCGGTACACCTACCCCTCATGTCATCAGTACGTCTCTTGATAGCTTGATACCATGGAGACAGGGATCGCGACTTCCGGCAAGCGAAGCACGTCGTAGGTCGAGAGCACAATGTCGAACGCGTGAAAGTCGGGGTCGCGCCGGAACCGCTTGCGGTCCGTGCCGTGGTAGACGCCGACGGAGAGGGACGTTTTGTGCTTGATCTCGCGCTCCCATTGATGAAGGAGCGAGAGCGGCGCGATGATGAGCGTGGGCCGAGACTTCTCCGTCGCGTTGGCGTCGCGCGACCGCTCGATGAGCGCGAGGCAGCTCACGGTCTTCCCGAGACCCATTTCGTCGGCGAGGATGCCGCCCTTGATCTCGTCGAGGACACCGGGGCGCTCCCGTTGCCACATCCAGTCGACCGCGCGCTCTTGGTACGGCTCGAGCACATGCGCCGGCTTCTTGGTGGCCGACTGCAGCGCAAGCCCTAAACGTCAATATGAGAAGATTCGATGGAAAGCAGGAAGGGCCACCTCGCGTCGTCTGCACGTGCTTGGCGATCGGCGATGTCATGGAAAGGTCGCCCGAGGCGTCGTCGCCGTCGAAGCTTGAGACCTCGCTGTAAACCGACTGCCGCCGAAGCAGCGCTTTGGTCTTCTTGCTCGGCACGCTCTGCGCTTGCTTGAGCCGATGGCGTCCTTGCAGTAGCTTCTTGTTTGCCTGCGGCGTTGCAGCACTTTGGGGGAAATCGTCCCGGTCGTCCTCCGAGTCGGGCAGCGACGGCATCATGCCCAGGTGGCTGAGCAAGATGGACATGTCGGGTGCGTCTTGGAGAAGCTCGTCACGCATCACGCCAGCATCGTCGTCTTCGTCGTCGTGATTGCTGTTGTGGCCGAACGAGTAGTCCATCGACTCGTCCAAAGCATGCTCGGGTGCTGTCTCTTCTGCCTGCTTCTCGCTCGGTGGCATGTGAAGTCGCAGATGGCGCAGAGGAGGTCGTCCTGATGGATGCGCTGGCGATGCATGCACAAGCGTGCGCGAGAGATGCTCTAGTGTTGGCGTCGGCGTGTCTTCATCGACCTCGTCGTCGTCCGGCAGTCGGAACGGGATCACGCTCGTGTCCGTGCCAGAGGTTAGAAGGGGCTTTGTCGCCGTCGTACCCGAGCGGTCTCCCGTGATGGGCGAAAGCGATGCCATGCGCCGGCAGAGCGTCATGGACACATCATCGAGGCTCGCTTGCAGCTCCTTGGAGTCGAACTCGGGGAAGAAACTGCTCTTGCTGCCGCTGCTGGGTCGCAATCGCTTCTTCCTCGGACCTGCGCAGCGTGAGCCCATGTCGAACAGAGAGCGTACCAGGTGTGCTGTACTCGAACGAGACGTTGGCCGGCGTGTGGTACTCGTACGAGCCATCGCCTTCGTCGAGCAGCGATGGCGGGTCGTCGTCCTGCAGCAACGCAAAGAGCCGCTCCATGTTCGCAAGGTCCTCTGCGCTGGCCTCGTAGGCGCGGACCTCGGCGGCGCCGAAGCGGCCGTTGACGACGCTCTCAACGTACCCGCGCCAGTGCTGCTCGTACGCGGCCTCCCAGCAGCAACGCATGGTCTTGTTGATGACCTCTTCCGTGTCTATCCGGAAATGATCCGGATAAACCACTTGAATTTCCCGCCGGATATCCAGCAAGCTGCCGTCGAAGGTCACTCAACGGCAACGGCATGAAGGGGGTCTGTAAACGGTGGTAGGTTGCGCCAAGTGCTTACTGTACACAGTAGTGGTAGTATCTAGTCAGTAGTCGCCCAGCTACGTCGCCCGCAGCTGTTGCCCACTTCCAGCAGCCAATCGAGCAAGGATCGTCGACTCCTAAATGGTCGACTCCAGTGCATTGCGAGCGATCGTGCGTTTGCCCGTGATCGTAACCAGCCGTGGTACCCAGCTGCGAGTGCGAGGCTGATATCAACGCCATTTTTTGAGTACTACCGTGGCGTCGGTCGCGTTCGCTTCTGTTCGATAGCGACACGCGCCGATCGGGCGGGTCGTTGGACGATGTTCGCAGTTGTATCCTTGTATCGGTGGTGCTGCCGGTCTTGGTCGCGATTTATGGGTCTCGGTGGTGGCAGCGCGTTGTCTACAATTGGTATTAATGAATCGTCTGACAAGTTGTACACATTATTATTGTCCATTAATACCAGGCTGGCCGCTGCATCGCTGGCTGCACATACCGACGAGTATGGTCGGGCGGCGTCTCGACGTGGTACTCGGTTCCTTGCAGAAGCGACCGGCACGGCGGCAAGAGCGGCTCGACGGTATACTTTGCAGGAGGAGGACCGGCGTAGCGCTTGGCGGGCGGCGGCGGCATCCACAAAGTCGCCTCTCGCTTCATGGCCTCGTGGCGGCTGCTTAAAAGCAAGTGGACAGACGGCAGCGCCGCGGTATTATCTCGATGCGACGGGGCCTCGTCGTCGCGCTTGCGGTGGCGCCAGCAGAGCCCGCCGCCGCGCGCATAGGTTGTGCAGTGCTGGACCTTGCAGAGGCGGCCGCCGCCGTGCCGGACGCACTTGGAGCGCATGTGTGCTTGCTTTTCGCAGCCTTCCTCGGTGCACCGCGGCTTGTCGACCTTGGGTCCGTGGAGCGTGCAGAAGCGACCTTGGCGCACGTGCACGCCGCAGTCGGGCGCCTCGCACTTGCGCTTGCCGCCGTGGCGGACGCAGAGGCTGCGCGCGTAGACCTGGTTGCGGCAGTCGTCGACCTGGCAGCGCGACCGGTGGCGATGGAAGACGCACTTCCACGAGCCCGGTACGACCGCTTGGTTGCACTCGTTAAAGAAGCACGTGATCGTCTCCATGACGCCGCAAATCACCAACTGGATTACACTGTATCGGGACGTTCGTCCGTTGCGGCGGCCGTACACTGTATCTCAATGTTGGACAACCTCAAGAAACCCTGCCTGCGGAATGGACCGCGCCGCGCGATCTGGGTGCGATGGTGGCGCTACTGCTGCTGGGTAAAACCTCTCTTCGCCGCCCGACGCACGAGCCACGGGCGTCGGCATGTGGAGCGTCCTCGACGCTCTCGGTGGTAGACACATCCCTTGCGAGCCGCGCAACGTGCCGCGACGCAACCGGATGGAACGCGATGGCGGACCGACCGAGTCGCAGAGTGCTCTGGGTCATATTAAGCGTCGTTCACGCTCGATCCTGTCGGTGAATTCACTCGCCTGCGAAGAGCTTGCCGTCTTGCGCAGGTACGTGGCTGCAGCGTGGGATATTTCTATTACACGCGCAAACGTCTCTTGTGACCTTGCCTTGTCGTACCAGCTCAGATAGCTCGCACTAGACTGGAGGATGCGAGCGCTGTCAATGATGGAGCTCTCGACGCTCCACCTACGCGGTGTTTTCGAGCCGCTTCCGGCAACTCGCGCCATGCATGATGCTTCCGTGGAAACCAGCCTCGCGGTGGACGACATCACTATCATCCGGGATGTGCTGGTGAGCAGATGATGCCGTGGATAGATGTCGAACTGCCATCCTATACGAAGGGCGACAGGATACCTGTGTAGTGTAGCTCGTGGATACCCGGTACTGGATACAGCGATCAAAGCGGTTGTCCGACGGCTGTGAAAATCACCACCAAGCACAAATTTCACAGCGTGTGAATCTAAAAGCCACGTGTGGTTTTCACGAGCCGCTCATATCTGGTTTGCAGGATGCTGACCCGACGCTGGGTCCTCGCCGCTGTTCTCGCGGTCGCCATCATGGCCGTCGCTGCGCACGAGCATGGCGCGCGGTACGACCTCTCGCTTTACGCGGCCACTCATGCGGCATAGCGGCCATCACCACCATCATGACGACGACCATGGCCATTCGCACGACCATCGCGATCTTCTGCGGCCCGAGGCGATGCCGGCGCCGCCCGTTGGATGCCCCCATCACCACGCCCATACCAAGCATGCACGCCACGGTGAGCAGGACCATGACCACAGCCACCATCATGGCCACGACCACGACCACAGTCATCACCACGGTCACAGTCACGAGCATCACGAGAAGCAGGCGCCTCCGGCCACGTCGTTGTCCGAGTGGATGCAGCTGTCGCTGTGGACCGAGGCCCTTTTCGCCACTGCGCTTGTGGGCGCCGCGCCCGTCATCGTTCTCTTCTTCGTGCCGCTTGGCCGCTCGACCGACGTGGCGGCGCAGAAGCCGCTCCTTCGCGTCTTTCTTAGCTTTGCCGCGGGTGGTCTTCTCGGCGACGCGCTCTTGCATCTGCTACCCCACTCGCTGCCAAGCCATGTCGACCACGACCACGACCACGACCACAACCACGGTGGCGACGGCGGGCACACCCACTCGGTGGCCGACCTCGCGCCGTACCTCTATGTGCTGGGCGGTCTCCTCACGTTTCTCATGCTCGAGAAGCTCGTGCGCGCGCACACAGGCCACGGACACTCGCACGGCCACGACAACGCGGAGCACAAGAAGAACGACGACGCCCCGGACGCGACACAGACCTCGATCGCCGCGGCCGGGTACCTCAACCTCGCCGCTGACTTTTCCCACAACTTTACCGACGGCCTTGCGATCGGCGCAACGTTCGTGCACGGACGCGGCAGCGGGTGGCAGACAACCGCAGCGATGCTGCTGCATGAAGTGCCCCACGAGATTGGCGACTTTGCCATTCTATTGCAGTCGGGCTTCACGCGCCGCCAAGCCATGTGGACGCAGTTGTACACGGCGGTGGGCGCCATGGTCGGCACGGTCGTCGGCTTGCTCATCGAGACGGAAGCCGGCGCGTGGGTCACGCCATTCACCGCCGGCGGCTTCATCTACATTGCATGCACGAGCGTCTTTCCCGAGCTCCTCGAAGACGCCTCGTTGATGCAGTCGCTCCTCCAGCTCGCGGCCATGGTGCTCGGCATTGCGCTCATGCTTTTGATTGCGCTCTTCGAGTAGCTCGCTCGCTCGCGCGTACATACTGTGCACAGCAAACACAAATTAATCCATCATCTACCATGACCATTCGCTCAAAAGTCGACAAAAAGTCAACGAAAAATCAACGAAAAACAACGAAAAACAACGAAAAGTCAATGAAAAGTCAACAAAAAGCAACAAAGAGGCAAGCGCCCGCCTCGACGACATGCTGCTAGTTTGACGTAACGACGTCGGTCAAGGACGGGCCTTTGACGCGGCGGCTCCTAGAAGGCCCGGGTGCCGCCTCGAGCGAGTCGATGAGCACGCGTGCACGGGGGCCGGTGGCTTCGTCCGCGTGGCTTGGCATACTCATCCAGCGCGTCTCGGACGTCGCCCGCTTGGATTCGACGGCGAATGCATTCATGTTGATGATCTACGGCGGACACTTGATAGTTTGATACGACAACAACACTGCAAACGCACGAGCTTGCGTCCGGCCTTGGCAAACTGGCGACGTGCGACCTCGCTCTTCTTGGTCTCAGTCTACGCACATGACGAAGTCAATGGCAATGACGCATGACGATGACGCACCTGTTTCGGGGCATCGTAGACCGACTGTCCGTCAAAGTCGAATTTCTTGAGCCGACTCACCATGGTCGCGATCGCTCGGTGCTTGGACTTTTCGCCGTCGCCGTAAAAGTTGACGAGCTTGAGAATGATCTTGTCGACCTTGGCGTATGCGTCCAGAAGCGCCTGCTCCGTCACGGTCGGCTGCTTCGTCGGGAAGCGTGGAATGTTCTGCGACGACGCCTCGCGGGCGTCGGCCTCCTTTTGGATTTTCAAGAGCTTGGCGCGGATCTCCTTCATGATGTGGTTGGAGATATCTATCTCGACGTATTGGATAGTCGGTTTGGATCGATGGAACGTCGTATACTGGGGTAGTGCGAGTGGATGTGGTCCATGCCGCTGCGGCTCAAGACATAGAGGACGCCAAACGTCTTGCAGCGAATGCTTGCTGAGCGCTTGGAGTTCAATAGCATCGCGAGCTCGCCAAAGTACGACCCTTCCGAGAGCACCTATCCACTTGTTATAGAAATGAGATCGAGGCGGCGTGTCGACCTTGCAGAGCAGCTCTTGGGGCGTGTTGACGTTGATGACGACTTCGACCGTGCCTTTGACAAGAAAGTACATGTGGCGTCCAAACTCGCCCTAGCCCATCGTGCCATGATGCTACGTGGGATGTGAACAAATGACGACGTCTACGCGGAAGACGAATTCGCCGGGCGTAAAGCACTCTTGGCTCAAGATGCCCATGAGGTACGAGATGCACGCGTCGTCTTGGTTGGCGAAGAATGGGATTTTGGCTACCACGTCCTTGTTCAAGTGGATCACGAGCTGCGTGCGGAGGTCGTCCGAGAGTTCGTGGACAAGGTCCGAGTCGGCTGAGATCTCCTTTTGCGCCAAGTAAAACTCAAAGTGCTTGCGAATGCGCACGCGGAGCGGCTTTGGCAAGTTGCGCTCCTTCATGTATTCCTATGCAAAACGGGAGTCTCAACTCAAAAAGAATCTCAACCAAACGTCTCCAACGACAACACATACCTTGACGCGGTCCATCTTTTCCTTGGCGAGAATCCCCTTGGTTTGCATCTGATCGACCAGCGTCGACATGGACCCAATGATGTAGCCAAAGATGGACGCGCCCAGCAGCATGTAGAACGTCACGTAGATGACCTCGAGCGGCGTCACAGGCAAAATGTCGCCATACCCGACCGTCGCCATGGTCGTAAAGCTAAAGTAGAGCGACGTAATGTACTTGTCCAAGGTCGGTGCATTCCACAGCGCGGGGCCGATCCAGCACGCGCCATAGATCTGCTGCGAGAGCTGCCCGATGAAGAAGAAGACACACGCCGAGAGGTGCGCAATGAAACACACCTAAGCGCCCCTTGATTTGAATCTCAAACGCCAATAAATACGTACGTGCACGAACAGTTTCATGAGGCGAATCGCGGCGGGGCTGAGGTCGAGCACATTCTCGACGCTGCTCACGCTGCGATTGAGTTTGAGAAGGCGCATGAGTTTGAGCAATCGCGCGAGGCGCACGAAGCGAATGAGCTTGAAGTTCTGGAACGACGAGACGGTGGTGGCATTCAGCTGCGCCGCGGACGGACTCATGGCGTCCGCAACGGCGCCAATGGGAAAGGTCGAGACCACGTCGGTCCAAAACCAAAATCGGAGATAGCTACACCACTCGTTGGGATGCAAGCCGAGAAAAAGAGAGAAAATGGTGTCAACATGAATCAGGACGCACCGCCTGGCAATCTTTTGGGCGTCCATCACGAGCCGGCTCTCGTCGTCGAGGTACCCAGTTCGAAAGTTGAGGACAATATCGACCCCAAAAATACTGTCCACCATGTAGTCGAGCATCTGTCAGCACGGTGATCACGCGTCGATTATGAGACATGTTCGTACAATCACGACGGGGTCGACGGTCATGTCACCCATGTAGCCGCCTTGGAACGCGAATTGAAAGGGAATGCTCATGACGTTGTAGACGATGAGAACACCGAGAAGGATGTCCCAGCGCAGCTTCCACGGGGCTTGCGGACGAATGAGCGCACGCAGTCGCTTGGGCTGCGTAAAAGCTTTCTCATACTTGGGCTTCATGCCTACAAGGGGCCTACTTGATACCTTGATACTAAGACACGCATTACCGTCGAGAATGACTTTTTTCGAAAAGACCGAATTGAAGACCGAGACGCGGGGGCTTAAAAAGTGGGGCAATAGCTTCAAAATGGGCGCGGGAAATTGCTCGATCGGCAGCGGCGTCCCGTTGAACGAGATCTTGAGGTGCGGCCAGAGGTCTTCGACGCGCCGGAGCTGCGCCGGGTCGTCCTTGTACTTGTCGTACATCTACAACGCGCTCGCGGCGAGGTGTCCATGGCACAGAAGAAGAGGTACCGAGAAGCGTTGCATCATGGTGGCGTGCGTGTCCGTGTAGTTCTTCTTGCGCAGGTCATAGTGCTCGGTGAGGATGCTCTCCGTGTCAGGGTACTCTTCGAGGAGAGCGTCGAAATCTTCCTTGAGAAGCGTGTACATCTCGCAATTGGTGAGGCTGATGTAGGTGTTCTCGCGGAGACAGTAAAAGAGGAGCGGCGCTTCGCCAAAATACGTGTTCTCGCTGAGCACATCGAGGAGCACGCGATGGCCTTGCATCGTCGAGTTGCACACCGAAACGATGCCCGAGTTGAGAAAGTACATTTCGCGGCCCACCGTGTGCTCTTTGGCAATGACCGAGTCGGCCAAGAGGAAGAGCGGCTTGATGTTGATGGCCATGTCCATCACAAACTGCGCATTGATGTTGCGGATCGCGGAATCCTATTGGAAAAATGAAAACTCACGAAACCATTTCGACACCAATTATATGTACCGAAAAATATCACGGCAGGTTTCGTGCACAACTTCGTTGCGGAGGTTCAATGACACTTCACTGAGTATCGACGACTCGTCGAAGAGCGACGCGCGCTGAAGGTAGTGCTCAAAGTACCTACAACAACGTGCATGCGTCTTCTTTATATCGTCATACCGGCAGAGTTTGACCCGCAGCTCCTTTGGCAGCTTGTGCACACGGATGTAGTCCTTGACGTCCATCATCTTCATCTGGTACGCCGCCGCGCGCGTGTCCATGGACTCAAGGAGGGACGAGATGGACCCGATGACAAAGCCAAAGACCGATGCACCAATCATCATGGCAAACGTGGCGTACATGCGCTCCGAGATCGAGACGGCGTGCACGTCGCCAAAGCCGACACCGGCGAGCGTCGTCATGACCCAGTAGAGACTGTACATATACCGGACGCTGTCGCTCTCGATGCGGAGGTCGTTGTCTTGGAGCCACGTCACGTTGGGTTTGTACGTCAAGTACTCGGCGGTGGGTGTGAGCCCGAGGCGGCGGCGTTGGGCACCGCTAAACGACGGGTCGACGGGGCTGCCGAGCAAGTGGAAGAAGCACGCCATGACATGCGATAGAAAGAGCACAAGCATGATGAGCCGGACGAGGCGCACCATGCCGGGGTTGAAGCCAAACCGATCTTCGGCCTAAAATGGCTCGATGCAGCGTCTTCTTTTGTAGATGTACCTTTTTGAAGAAGACGCGGAGCTTGACGAGCCGCGTGAGCTTGAGGATGCGAAAGACGCGGAAGATGCGAATGAGCTGGATGGAGGCAAACGAACTCGAGTTGCCGAGGGAGGCGTTGGTGGCCGTCGCCACCGCTTGCAGCGGAAAGGTCGAGAAGAAGTCGATCAAGAACCACGTCTTGACGTACTGCTTGGCGATCTCTCGATGGTTGACGACGAGCTGGTCCTGGTCGTCGTGGTACCCCATCATAAAGTTGCGCACAATGTCAATGCCAAAACAGCCATCGACAAAGTTGTCGACGTAGGGCCAGAACCCCGAGATGCTTTGAAGCCTAATCACACTAAGATCCCTGCCCGTTGTCTGCAAGTCGCTTGTACCCAGGAAAACACACGCTGAGCGGCACCGTGATGCCGCTGTACGCGATGAGAAAGGCCATGAAGACGTCCCACTGCGTCGCACGTGCGCTCTTTGGGTCGATGACGTACGTCTTGGGGCTTTGCGCCTTGGCCTTGATCTTGAGCATCGACCGGCGGATCGACGATCCCTGGACGCTCTCGAGCGGTGGCGCATTCTTGAACGAGTGGGTCCGCGCGCCGCCCCCGGTTACGATGATCTCGTGGTTGTTGTAGCCGGTTTCGTACTCGGCGAGCTCTTGGGCGGGCTTCTTGACAGCCAAGTGGCGGATCCGCGGCGGCGCAATCGACTTCTTCCGGCCCTTGGCCTTCATGGAGCTGTTGCCTGTCATGGATGTTTGCGTCGCAGCGCGCTGGGACGCGGCCTTCTTGCCCATGCGCGAGTTGACGTTCATGGATCTTGGCGTCGAAAGTGCACTCTGGCGGCGGTTCGTGGAACTGCCACGTTTCAGATCTCAGAAAAATGTTCCAGCTCCACGAGCCGTCGATTCAAGCACGCAATACAGGATAATATTAGTAGGATAGGATAGGTCTTGGTCGTCGTGGCTACTACAATTACGACGTGGCGCGCCGCCACCACTTGTACCGGTTGTGCTTCTTCCGCGGCGCGACGGGCGCGGTGTCGGGGACACCAAACATGGGCAAGGACGACGACGACAAGCGCAGGCAGTTGGTCTCCAAGCAAGCGGCCGTGCACGGCACGCTACTGTACGTGCCGCTGTCGGGCGCTCGGATCTTCCATTTCAAGCCCGGCATGGTCGAGACGGCGGCGAAGAACGCGTGGACGAGCTGGAGGCGGCTACTGCGGGCGCGCGCATCCAGAACCCGCACGTTGCAGGGCTCGGGAGCGGCGGAATGCGGTGCGCGTGCGTCGGGTGGAGGCCGCGGAGCCCCACGGCGAGCTTGATGATGACGCCATAGTCGTACCACTGCGTGAAGAGCCGGCCTTCGAGCGTCTCGATGCCAATGTTGAACGACTCGACCCACCCGCCCTGCTACACAGCCTCTTTGAGTGCTCGTTCGATGCTGCAAGACATGCTGTACCTTGGCCGGTCGCTGCCGCGTCTCGATCGCCTAGGTGCACGTCAGATCGTATTGCATACTAGTACTATGCAGGACGGTACCGAGATGGACGTGAACGTGGTGGCGAGCTTGGCGAGGTCGCGCTTCATCGCATTGTTCTCATGCGCGATGCGCGTCGTCGCTTTCGGGTCGGCAAACTTTGCCAGCGTCGCGAGCAGCTGCACATTGTCCTGCTCGATGGCAAGGCGCTCGGCCTCGAGCCGCCGCAGCTTGCAAATGGCGCTGCAGTCCTCGTCCGACGCACACGCGTCGTCGTCGACGTCGTCGGTAGGGATCTACACGCGCATGAGGGACGCCTTCACGCAAGCAGCGTACGCTCGCATCGAGCCATGCGATCGCAGCGTCGTCGTCGACAAGGCCCATGGTTGGTATTGAGTGTAAACTGTCGTCCGCTCTCTGCAAAGCCGGTGGCGGCTGTCGGTAAAAACAGATGTCTCTTCGAATTCACCCACCTGGCTCTTCCGCGGGGTCGAGTGATTTACGATGTGATGGCCGCCGTCCATCTCCTGCATGATCAACAAAAGTGTCGTCGCGACCGAGAAAGGACAGGTTGTCGTTGCCAAGATTGTCTTCCGTCGCGCCGCTCGTCCATCAATGCCGCCTTGCATCCATGCCTTGCACGTGGAGAGGCGTGCACATGGTCGCCACCGTGTGGCGCTCGCGTCTCCGACGAGGCGCGCGACACGACCGTCTTGCCGACCGGTCACGCGCACGTCAGCGAAGCTCTCGGAAGCCATACTGTCTGCAAGCTAGCGTCTCTGGTATTTAGTCGCGTATCTACTCTGGTACGTATCTACTAGCTCTTTTAGCTTGTGCGTGATCATGTCGTAATCGCCTTGCGTACAAGTTAAATCGAGTGGTTTAGTTAGTTGGTAGCGATGCGTGGCATCGACTAGGGCCAGCCGTCGTCGTCGTCCGAAACTGTCGAGGCCGAGGACGGGCGTTGCGACGGGTTGGCTGGTTTAACGACGCACGTCGCTTCGTCGATGCGAATCGCCCACTCGACAGCGCTGAGCTCCAAGATTGCCGCCAGGAACGCGTTCAGTCGGGCCATGCGTCGGTCGAGGCAGCGCGGCAGGTGCTTCTCGGCCTCGAGCGTGGGTATGCCCGGCCCGTACTTGGCGCTCAGCGATGCCGCCAGCTGGAGAAAGGTCTCGTGCCGGAACCACGCGCTCAGTGCGCCGCGCTCGGGCGTCTCGATCTGGATTCTGTACTGCGTTAAGCGACTGTGGGGTATCCACCGCGCGTCGACGATGCGCGCAGTCGCGAGCGTAACGCCGCCGTGGAGCCCCAGCACGGACGTGAGTAGCTCGACGCGTTGCTGGAGCCGGCCAATCTCGGCGGCCACGAACGCCGGCGCCGAGCCAGCAGCGCACGCCGCATCGACGGCCGCGAGGCGCGCCGCTTCGCCGCCGCGGGACGCCTCGACGTGGAGTGCCCGGAGAGCGTCCAGCGGCAGCACCTGCTTGGTCTTGCGGCGGCCGACGCGGTTGCCGTCGGCCATGCGGAGGCACCACTGCAGCGTCGTATCGCGTAGGAGCGCGGCCAAGAAGGCGTTAAGGCGCTCCTTCCGCGTCTCGATCGTTCGGTCCGAGTGCGCGCCAAAGAGGTGCGTCGCCGGGAGCTTGGGCAGCGGTGCGTGCAGCGACGCCGCGAGGCTGCGAAAGGTGCTGTAGCGGTGCCACGCACGCTGCGCGCCGCGCCAATCGGTCTCGATCACGAGCTCATACTCGACAAAGCGGCGGCCTTGGACAAAGCACTGCCGGTGGCCCACGACGGACGCTGATACGGCCTGCGCCGGGCGCGTCTGCAGCACCTGCGCATAGAGCCGCGTCGCTCGCTGCGTCCAGCGAGCGCACTCTTGCAGCAACGGCGGATCCACCGCCGCATGGAGGCGCTTGGCGACTGCAGCGCGGCGCCGGTCCAGCTCGTCGTCGGTCGTGGCGAGCATCCTGGCGTAAATCTAGAACGAAGATGCGAAAATGATGGTCCGGGAGCAATCCCATGGAAAAACTAAGGTTTCGGCGACCGCCCCGTCCCGCGGAGATCGTTCGGGCGGCTCGTCGCTTCCATCGTGCAGTACCGGCTATAGCCAGCAAGACCAACGACGGTACTAATACTGAATAGACGCGCGCACTGGTAGCAACTCTGCAGTAACACCTATCTACATTCATCCTCACGCGACAACTCTCTCTACAACTGCCTCACGCCTCGTCGTCGTCCGACGAGCCGGCCGTCGACGCGGCCGAGACGCGACTGTGCGTCCGTCGTGGCTTTTGGTACTTGAAGACGCGCGTGTCGTCGTCGATGCGGAGACCCCACTGCAGCGTCTCGTCGGCCATGGCGGCGGCAAGGTACGCGTTGAGCTTGGCGACGCGGTCGGCCATACACGTCTCCGAGAGGACGGTAAACACGCTGTGCTTTGGGAGCGACGGAAGGCCGCTCGCGCGATCGCCGTACTTGGTCTGCATGAGCGTTCGCAAGTGGTACAAGGTGCTGTAGCGGTGCCAGAGCGTGAGCGTGCCATGGCTGTTGGTCTCGACCGCCAGCTTGTACTCGTCGATGGGCCGGCCGTGGCGTGTGGCCTTACGGCTCTCGACCACGCGCGCACTGAGCATGTAGATGCGGTCACCGGCCGCCACGAGGCGCCGAAGGAGCGCGACGTCGTCTTGAAGCGCGCTCGTCTCGGCCGCCAAGATCGTGTTGACGTCGCCGCTTGTGTACGCTGCAAGGCGCGCGCGCAGGTGCTTGAACTCGTCGTGCACGTCGCGGTCTTCAGTCATGTCGGCCAAGATCGCGCGTACTTGGGCCGCTTGGGAAGACGAGTAGCGCGTCGCCTTGGCGCGGGCTTGGAGCTGGAAGACGCAAATGTCGTCGTGCACGCGGACGCCCCACTCGAGCGACTTGTTGTCGCAGATGCTGGCCAAAAAGGCGTCGAGTAGCTGCATGCGCTCGCGCAGCGCAGTCTCGGTGAACCGGCGCACCTCGGTGGATGGCACGTCGGGCACGATGGCGCCACTGGCCGTAAGCATCGACGCGAGGGCCCGGAACTTGGCCTCCGAGTGCCACGTATAGAGCGTTCCGTGGGCAATCGTGACGACTTGGATGCGGAATTCGGCGCAGTGGGTGCCGTCGCACACGCGCTTGCGGCAGCCGACGACGGACGCCGTCGCGAGGCGGATGTCTTGGGCGCGGGCGAGCTGCGACCGGAGGCGGTCGCGCTCGTGGGTGAGGCGGTCGCGGTCCGAGAGACGCGCGGGGTCGCCGTGCCACGCCACGTGGGCTTCAATCGACGTGCGCAGTGTCGCGTTCTTGGCCTCGAGGACCGGGCTATCGGTCAAACTCACGGTAGGTCGAGTCATTTCGTCAAATACTACTGCACTTGGTCGAAAGTGCAAAGTGGCGCGCAGAATGTTGGTCGCGCCAGCTGCGCGCAGCGGGATGCACTTTTGCAGCCAGATGAAGCTTGGCATGCGTATGGGATCGTGGGGTGCGTAACGTGGCGCCGTCCTGCGGTGTCCTCTCGTCGACTGCGCCAATCCGTCGTGTGGTAGGCAGCGGCGAGGACAAGGCGGTTGGCGCGGACAGCAGCGCGATTTCGAGACGGTTGGCTGCGCGTCTTTACGCCGCGATGCACGAAAGCACCCAAGAGACTCCATTTCTACACTGTAGGGGTTTTACCACCAAACACGCGCGTGTCCTTGGATCACATTGCACATACCACGCGTTCAACGCTGCGCGGCGATAGCACGACCGTGTCTCGCCTTCTGTCTAGCCATCATCCACTCAGCAGTAGCTCTCAGTATCGTAGCCATGAGTGCGCTCTTAGAGTCTGACGAAAGCAATTCCAACCCCAATGTGAAAACGAAGAAAGGAACTACGCAACGGGGCTTGAACCCCGTACTTCCTGCGTACAACGAAGGTGTCCAATGTAAAAGGTCATCCATCATGTACTGGTTTGCGCCAACAAGAAGGTGCCCTGTAGCTGCGCGCCAGGCTAGGCATACGCCATGCTAGCTTGCAATGCACACGGGAGACATCAGCACGCGACAAAGGGAGCGAGCGGTGTTGAGAGAACAGTAGCTGCTGCCATATCAACCGGCTACCCTTCAAGGCGAGGTCTTCATTCGACGCCTCATAACAACCGTGTGGCCCACCGCGTGTGCACCGCGATCAGGAGGCTCTACCACACGCCGCTAGCCGCGCAACCGGAGCCTTGTTGACCGTCGGTCCGCGACACCTGCTTGCGCAACGATGTCCGCCAACTCGGCACGTTTACCGAGACTGTTTGCCTCGAGAACGCCAGCGCAGCAAGTGAAGGAGCAATCGCTTCTGTGCGCCAAAACGGCCACCCCATGGATGCTTGCAAATCGTCATCATGCAGTGTTAATACCATTCTCATCTCTTCGCACGACAACAAGATTTCATTCTACATGTCGTACAATTTGTATGGCCAAGAAGAGAATGGAGCCAGTCGCAGTATAAGATGCCGGGGCTGTTCAGTGAGGATTGTTGGCGCAGGAGCCGATGTCATGCTACCCTATGCTTCCTCGCCACCATGACGTTAGATACACGTGCAGTGACGAGCCGTTGCAGACGGTTGCGAGCGTGTAATCTTGCCACTTCAACGACAGACTCGACCGAACTTTAACCGCCTGCGATCCTTCGTTGCCTCATCGCATTCTATCGTCAATGGCGAACCAACCAAACCGAATGCGCAACGTGCTACCGGTATGTACAACGGGTAGGAGAAGCATTACGGAGCTGTTTTCTGGCGGCGATGGCATCCTCGACCCACGAATTCCGTGGAACCGTGGCAAGTATATATTGCATCAACCCCTCAGTCACCTCGAAGCGCATTTTGTCGAACGCGCCTTGTCACTGACAGCGTCCTCGGCGACGTCAGCGAGTCCGTGCTTCCGCACACATGACCGGAGGCGTAGGTGACGATGGTTGCTTGGTCGTTGCGCTTGCGGTCTCGGTGGCGTCCTGCGTCTCTGAGACCATGGCGTGGCACGGTTTCATGCAAGCAGGTGCTGGCCCGAAGTTCCGACGATAAGTTCGAAAATATATATCGGTGGAATGGCATTTGCCATATTGCCAAGAGAGGCATGAACGTCACGGGACTTATGCTGGACCCAGCAAAGGAGCGCGACCGACTGCGGAGCCAAGCGAGCCAGCGACGGTACCGCGCGCGCAAGAAGCAGAAAGACACGCGGCTGCTCGCGGCCGTGGCCGAGCTCTGGTCCGAGATCGCGCAGCTTGAGCAGGCGCGGCTGCCGCGCGGCGTCGCAACCTTCACGGGCGTCTCGCGCATCGGTCGCGACTTTTACAAGCACTTTGAATTTGGCCTCCACGTTCCGACGCACGAGCAGCAGCGCCAGTTCGCGTACAGCATGACGTCATCGTCGCTGGTCTTCATGGGCGAGGTACATCATCACTTCTACGACAAGCCAAAATGATGACGAGACTGATGCGTTGGTCGGTGTAGCCGAACGGCCTCGCCATGATGTTCAAGCAGCTCGCGCTCTACGCGTCGGTCTTTCCAATGTGCCACCAAGTGTGCGAGTCGGCCGAGACGTGCGCCGTCACGGACGACGACATCGTCGTCAAGTGCCGCGTACGCCTCCATCTGCGCCTCTCGCGCAAGTCCGTCGCGACCATCTACCCGTCGCTGCTCGCGAACGAGCCGCTCGTGCAGCGGCTCATCGGGCAGACGCTCGTCGTGCCCGTGGTCTCCTACTTTTACGTCGACAAGGCGTCGTCGACGGTCCACAACATTGAGGTCGACGCTGATATCGTGGCCGCTGCCATCAATCTCCTCGGCAGCGTCGAGGTCGCAGCTGTCGCGCTCTCGGCGTCCAAGCTCCTCGCGTCGGGCCCGATCCAGCCGTCGTAGGCTCCGTTGAATAATAAATCCAGTGTTTCATGATTTGTTCGGTGATGGCATTACGTATTCGGTCGACACGTTTACAGACAAATGCTCGGTTCAGTACGCGCTGGCGACGACCAGAGAGACAGAGAGGTCGATGAGAAATATCTCCTTGCCTCACTGCTTGCCGCTGAGATTCTTAGTGGCCGCCGTCATCCCGCCTTACAATATCCAAGTATATGACGTGGCCGTTTCGTGGCTGTTCTGACGGACCAGATGGTAGGCGAGCCTCTGGGGACATGCAGCTTGACCGCTTACCGACTGTAGCCACAATCCACGGCAAGATCCACCAACTCGAAGAGTCGCACCTTGAGGCGGCACGGAGACGAGCCTCGATACCGCGCGTGCGAAGTCTCCGTTGATGTGCCCAGGGGTACATAATACCGTTATGTACCCTGGGTGTGCCCTTCTCCGTCGCATCCAAGGAGGTGGAACGACGCGTACTTGACGAGTCGGACGTCTCGAGTCCTATCGCTCGATCTGCAGGCACAAGGCGCGAGCGATACCTCTTGTCGCCCAACTCTCGCGATGCCCAACCTCCTCGGGTGCATCTTCAGCGCCTCGTTGGCTGCACCGGTGCTCAAGTCTCTGGGCCGACTTGTACAGTAGCACCGTGGAGATCAAGTTTAACTGCTTGATGCGCTGCGTATCAATGCATGAGACAGCGCGACATGAGCAACACATTGAGCACGATACATCTGCTACCATTCAACGCTCACTCAAAGGCGGGGACCACAAAGCTGCTGCGGGGCGAGCACTCGTCGTCCGAGGACGCGATCGTCGGCGCCGCCGATGGACGTTCGGCCAAGCTGCGCAGCGTCGGTCGCCGCCGCTTGTACACGCACGTGTGGGCGTCGACGCGGATGCCCCACTGCAACTCGGGCGCGTGCGTGATCGTGTGCAGAAACTGGTTGAGCGCACGCGTCCGGTCGCGGGACCCGACGCCAAAGGTCGGCTTCTCCGCAAGGTCGGGGAGGCTCAAGCCCGCATGTCGCTGGCGCAACGTGGTTGCGAGGCCGCGGAATGTGCTGTGGCGGTGCCACACGTGCAGCGTGCCGTGCGAGTTGGTCACGAGCTCTAGCTTGTACTCGACGACGGGCCGTCCGTCGTGCGGCGTCGTGCGGCTCTCAACGACCATCGCGCTCAGCAGCGACGCATCGCTCATCGGCTGCCCCAGCTCCAAGCGGAGCTCGGCAATGACCACATTGAGGCGGTCGCTCTCCCACGCGAGCTGTGCTTGCGCCGCGTCGCGCTCGCGTTGGAGCTCCGCGGTGCGTGCATTGGCAGTGTCAAGCGCAATACGCGCCTGCGCGAGCGCCTCGCGCAGCTGCTCGACACCGTCGTCGTCGTCGTCGCTGCTACGCATCCGAATAATTTAGTGCGCCACAGCGTCAGCTGCGCGATCACAGACACAAAAGCATTTTAAAACATGCGTAAATGCGACGCATTTTATATTATCGCACATGAAAATATAATGGAATATTCATCTCTAAAGCTACATTTGCGTCACATTAGAATTGATTATAAAAATACACTTGTACAGAAAATAGGCGTGTCGTATTTTTACGGCAACCCGCCGCCCAATCGCGATGCCTCCCGCGTCCACCTCGTCACTCCCCTGTACTGGTTGCGGCCGAGCAAGCTCGGACCCGGTGCTTGTAACGCGATCGTGTCGGCACGCAGCTGCATATGCCACGCGAGCGAGTCGTCGGCGACCACGGCGGCCAAGAATGCGTTGATGTGGGTCATGCGACTGGCGATCGTGCTGCTGCTGAGGTTGCCGAGGA